GATATGTCGATGGGAGCGTGATTATTAAGAGTAAAACTTAAGAGTACCACGTGTCAAAAAATTAGTGGAATCCGACTTATATTAAATATCGGCTGATCCGCTCAAAATTTAATCTCAATTAATTTTTATATCTATATTTGATATACCATTCAACTTTCGATTTTAAGCTCTATCTTACTATCACATTCCTACTAATTAAAATTTAACTTCTTTTCTTATCATATCTAATTGTATGTCACACAATAAATGACAAGTGATAAAATTCAATAGTGCCGAACCAAAATTAATAACGCCGGTAATTGGCCGATAATTATCCGACCAGACGCATGCAAACCCTAATTGCAAGAAGGTTGTAGTAATTAATGTAACTTTAGTGGGAGGGAGGGCCAAAATGTTTCAATTTTCAGAGAGATGCTTTGTGGAATATTTGTCGAGACCAAATCATTTGACTCCCAAATTATGACACTTTTCAACCACAACAATAATTTTATTTATTTATATATATAGTCTCAATCAAAATTTTGAATAAATATACTTTTCTTGTAATAAGCGCTACCAAAATTTATCTCTTTATCTTTAAACTTTAGGAATCAATCAAAGGATAATGTACCAATGATTTGAATGTATATATGGACCGTTAGGTTTAATTTCCTTTTCTTTTCCTTCCTTTTTTCGTATAGAAATGTGAAATAGCGAAAAATCGAAAAAAAACTATTAACTCTACTTGTATCTGAAATACCACTAAATATCCATAAAAAAAATCATACTATTAGGGTCCATTTGGATGGAGGGATTTGGGGAGGGATTTGATTTGGGAAATGGATTTGAAATGACTCCAATTTCGGAGTCATTTGAAATCCATCACTATTGCTCCAAAATCAACTAAAAGGGAGGGTGGGGATTTGAAATCCATCTCCAAATCCCTCAATCCAAACAAGTCCGAGTGATTTGTTGTTATGGATTTGAAATCCCTCCCCCAAATCCCTCCATCCAAATGCACCCTTATATATTTGTTTTCGATTAATTTGATTGTGTATTTCTTTTAGCTTATTCTATTTAATTACTAATTATTTTTCCAAATAAAAACAAAAATGCTACTAGCATATAGTAATTAAAAGGTGATTTATCCAATCTCAAAAACTTTATATATATGACTGATATATTCTGTGACTTTGACTAGTTAAAAGCTCAAAGTTATGGTTTCCATCTTTCTGAAAAGTTGCTCTCAAATCCTTTAATTAATTTAATTTGCAAAAACTTCAAGAATTATGAATAATAATAATAAAAATAATAATAATAATAATAATAATAATAATAAATACCCTCTTTATTTTGTATATTACAAATACTATATACATGAAGTTTATTTTGTTTTAAAAACACCTCAACTAAATCTACAAAATTTAATAAATCTACGCTATATGTATTGAATAAATATAAAGGAATAGTAAAAAAAGAAGAAAAGAAAAAAAGAAGAAATCCAGACTCCCGCCAAGAATTTGAATATTAGTTTATATAAATGCCAAAAGTTGGCATGCAAATCTATTTAAGAGATATAAAATCTTTTCTTGATTAACCAAAAAGCGGTTTTATCTATCCTACACCCGGTGAAGGTTACACCGGGTGATTTTTCACCGTTGATCAACACACACCAATGTGGGTGTGTGTGTGTTTGTGTGTATATTAATGGTAAAGATCTACCCGGTGTATTTCACCCGGTGTAGGATCTCAAAAGCCCCAAAAAGCGGTTGATAATTAATTTATAGTCATTATTATGCCTATTAATTAAATAATTATCCCAACACCCATTAAAAGGTTTTGTTTAACGCAAAGCTGAGTTATACCTATAATTTAATTATACTATATATATTTTTTAAATAAATATATATATATATATAGAGAGAGAGAGAGAGAGAGAGAGAGAGAGAGAGAGAGAGAGAGAGAGAGAGAGAGAGAGAGAGAGAGAGAGAGAGAGAGAGTTCTAGAGAGAGAGAGAGGGGCAATAATGCAATAATGGATGTGTAGGGGAGCAGACAGGGAGTTGCTTTTTGGGTACTTGGGGAATAAAACACTGTCTCTCTACGAGGATTGGCGTGAAATTATTACATTTCTTTTCAATCCACAAAAACAAATTATTATTCAAAATAAAACTAGAGAGAGAAGAGAGATCTAGAGAGAGAAACACACATTTATTAATTATTATTATTATTATTTACATGCAAATTAAATAGAAAAAGAAGAAACAAAAGATAAACATGAAAAAGGCAAAAATATCACTTTCTCTTTTATCTCTCATCACATAACTCTGCCCTTCTTTTCCCTTCTGTTTTCTTTTTTATTTAATATATATATATTTTTTTATTTAATTATGAGTACTATATTTGAATTTTCTGCTGCACCTTGTCTGTACCTCTCTCTCACTATGTGGACTAAAACAAAAATTAAAGCAAATAAAGCACTCACTCTGTGTGTGTGTCTATATATACATATACATACATTTCAGTTACTCGAACAAATAGAAAAAGAAAATAAAGATGGGAAATAAAGACACTAGTCATTAAAATGTGGGGTCAAAAATGCATTTTAAAGCAGCCCCTTTAATTTATGGGTAATTTATGAAAAAACCCCTAAAACTTAGATTAAATTACAAAAACCACCTCTACATATTCGTAATTACCAAAAATCCCCTGAGATTAGTTTCCGTATTACGCCAACCCCATAGTGTCCCTTTTCACAGATTTCTTTTTTTTATTCCAGTGAATAGACTATATACAATTTAAGATAAATATATTTTCTTTTATTTCTCACTTACTTAACCAAAAGTATAATAAACTGTACACATTTTATGTTAAAAAATTTGATCAATAGTTAAAAAGGGGATTTTGATTATTACCAATAAGTGGGGGTGTTTCTCATTATTTAGACTAAGTTAAGGGGGGTTTTCATAATTTACCCCTTAATTTATATATATTTGCATGAAAAGCCCCCAGACTGCAGAAACTAATTTTTTTATGACGAAAATAGCCCTGTGTGAATATCAAAACTCCAAAAAGGACACCACTGTTTATTTCCTTTTTAAGGCGGTGGTTTCAGTTTCAGTTTCAGTTTGTGATTTCATCATCATTTCATTTCGTGCTCCTTACAATCAAAAAACACACACACACACACACACACACAGTAGAGGTGGGGGAGGATAGATACATATATAGATACCAAAGCAAGGGTTTTCAGTTTCAGGGTTTTCTTGAGAAGTTTGATTCATCCAAGGGGGGTGTTGGGGGGTGGGGTAGTTACCAAGTTATGCGTGCAGGAGCTTGCGCGGCGCAACAGACGCTCTCGGCGGAGGCCGCCTCCGTGCTGAAGCACTCACTCAGCCTGTCACGGCGGCGGGGCCACGCCCAGGTCACGCCTCTGCATGTCGCCGCCACCTTGCTGAGCTCAAGGGCCAGCCTCCTCCGCCGCGCCTGCCTCAAATCCCAGCCGCACCACCACCAGCCTTCCCACCCACTCCAGTGCCGAGCCCTCGAGCTCTGCTTCAACGTCGCCCTCAACCGCCTCCCCGCCACCCCCGCCCCACTCCTCCACGCGCAGCCGTCGCTTTCCAACGCGCTCGTCGCCGCCCTCAAACGCGCCCAGGCCCACCAGCGCCGCGGCTGCGTCGAACAGCAGCACCACCACCAGAACCAAAACCAGCCGCCGCTAGTAACCATCAAAGTCGAACTCGAGCAGCTCATCTTATCCATATTAGATGACCCCAGCGTAAGTAGGGTTATGAGGGAGGCCGGATTCTCCAGCACCGCCGTCAAGAACAACCTCGAAGATTCCAACTCCTCCTCCGTCTTCCAGTGCTACAACACCTCCGGCGGCATTTTCTCCACCCCAAACTCCCCTCCTCCCGAAACCCACAGGGAAAACCCTACCACCTTCCATCACTACTCCCATCTGCTATCCTACGCCGCCGCCGCCGCCGCCGACAAGAACCCTTTCCTCTTCTCCGCCGCCGCAACAACTTCTTCCTCCTCCTTCAAACAAGACATCAAAACCGTCCTCGACGTTCTTCTCAGAAAGAACAGCAGAAGAAAAAACACAGTCATCGTCGGAGATTCCCTATCCACGGCGGAAGCCCTAGTCTCCGAGCTCACTGCCATGGTGGACAAAGGTGAAGTACCCGACGAGCTGAAATCGGCCCACGTCATCAAATTCCAATTCTCTTCAGTCCCACTCAGATTCATGAAACGAGAAGAAGTGGAGATGAACATTGCTGATTTAAAGAGAAAGGTCGATTCTTTCTCACCGGGCGGAGTGTTCATATACACCGGAGATTTGAAATGGACGGTGGACTACGGCGGCGAGAGAGAAGACGGTGGTGGTTACAGCCCGGTTGATCATTTGGTTGCAGAAATGGGGAAATTGCTTTCTTGGTATAACAACAGTAGTAGTAATAGTACGAGGGTTTGGTTATTGGGTACAGCGAATTATCAGACATACATGAAGTGTCAGATGAAACATCCACCGTTGGATCTTCATTGGAATCTTCAGCCTGTTTCTGTACCATCTTCTTCTGGTGGTTTAGGGCTGAGCCTCAATGCTGCTGCCACAAGGTTAGTTAGTCAACCCTTTGTTTGACTGTACAAATTTTGAAATTTTTTTTGGCTCCAAAAATTGTAGAGAGAGATTCTTGATTTTTGTAATGTATTCATTTTGTTTTGTTTGCATTGTTGTTCGATCAGTGGTCTAGATTCGAGAATCGAATTCCCGGACAAGAAGTCGTTTTGCGTCAAGGAGGAAGAACAAGATGTGCTTCTCACTTGTTGCCCCGAATGCACGTCGAGTTACGAAAGAGAAGCCGGTTTCAAGAAATGTTTTTCGTCGAACTCGATAGATAAAGATGCTGAGAATGGTTCTTCCCAATTGCCCTTTTGGCTAAAGAAACCGCAACCCGTCGATACACTTGACAAGGTATACTACTAATGTTTTTAAGTCGTTGGTTCTCGTGTAAATTCATTGTGTTACGTTTGTTATTCATCGAGAATTCGCTTAAATTTTTCAGGAAAATTTAGTTGAATTGAGGAGAAAATACAACAAATTGTGCAAGAGTCTCCACCGAGGAAGCAATAGTCCGAATAAGTATAACTACAACTATCCCTCTTGGCCGAACAAGAATAGCGTATACACCGACCATTCCGAAACTATTTCGTTTGCTCATCCAACGGCTAGTTCCTTGCCTAGGTTCAGAAGGCAGCAATCTTGCCACATCAACTTCACTTTCACCGACGAAACTTCCAAAAATCAGACAGTGACTGAACCAAATCTCGACTCCCTTAAAGGGGTGGATGAAAAGGAGGTAAAAATCACACTCGCCCTCGGAAATTCGGCTTATTCTTGCGCACCCACGGGTGACGTTTTTCAAGAAAACGTGCCTTGGCAATCGGAAGCTATCCCTTTAATTCTCGAGGCATTGGGTGATTCGAAAGGGATGAGTCGAGATAAGTTTGTATTGATTGAAGGGAATGACTTTGTTGGCAAGAGAAGATTTGCTGTGATGGTAGCGGAATCCGTGTTTGGTTCTTCCGATTTGCTTCTCTGCATGAGCACGAGAAAGGGTTTGAAGAATAAACGTGAAATTATCGACAAGGCATTGAAGAATCACGAAAATCTCGTTGTTCTAGTCGAAGATGCTGATTTCGCAGATTGTGAGTTTGCTGAGTTTCTTGATGAAAGATTTGAGAACGGAAAATTGGAAACAGAGAAGAGGAGTGATAAAGAAGATACCGGTGGCCATGCAATGTTCGTCTTAACGACGGATGGTGAGTCGAATAAAGAATTGGATAATGTAATCCAGATGAAACTCGTTATCAACGAATCCAAACATAGTCCGGATGATAACCCTAATCTCGAAAGCAAACGCAGAGCGAAAATGTGGGATTTGCCAATAACGAGCAACAAGAGACAGAGGAGCAACGAGATGGAGGATGTAAAGAAACCCCTCGACCTCAACATCGAAGCTGACGAGGACAGTGGCACTATCGTACAACAACGCGATTCGCCAACGCTTTTCCTTCTCGAAAAAATCAAGAACCGCTTCGTAATGAATAGGGATTCGGATCAAGAAGTTCGTGCGAGAGAGATGTTCTTGTCCAAATTTGAACAATCGTTTAAGGATGTTAGTGTAAGTGGAAATTTTGATGTCGAGGAGAGGGTATTGGAGGAAATTTTACGAGGGTCGGGTTTCTATCTCAATAGCATGTTCGACCGATGGGTGAAAGATGTTTTCGAGACGAGTTTACTTACGTTAGATAACGGCGGTGATCGGACGATCGAAAGGGTTGTTAGCATTAGGCTTTGTTTAGGAGAGAAGTGTGAAGAAGATGGATACATGGGAACTTGTCTTCCTAAAAGTATTTCAGTTTCTTTGTAACATATTAATTCTCTCTTTTCTTTTTTTATTTTTTTCTTGTTTTTAAATTGGGATGTAATTAGTGGTTTCTAATACTGTGACTGGTTTGTGTTTTCACAGCTTTTCTAATTTTAATTAATTAAGCATGGTTTAAATGTGGAGTTTGTAAAATCAAAGTGGTCAAAGGGCAAAATGGTCATTAGACACTGGTTTCATTAGAACCTTGAACATGGGACCAAAGTAGGTTTTGTAATGATGAGATAGTTACAAAGTGAACCTAATTGGGAAATTCTTTTTTGAGGTGGAAATCACTAAGCCACAAAGGTTTCTTGAATCCCTTTTCATAAACAATATTATCTATTCCCACAATAAATATTTATTTATATATATTATTGTAACTATAAATAATAATCTTCGTTCTCCACTACATGACAATGGCACTTTTATTTCACTTGATTAAAAAGATTTTTTATTTTTATTTTTTATATCTTTTGAATTTGGTAAAAAGTACTTTTGAGTCATTAGGGGGTAATCAAAGATTAATTAGTGTAAGAAGAGAATGATTACAAATCAAGCGGCGCGTGTGGGGCATGTCTCCATGTATAAGGTAATGATTTCTATATTTGACAAACTAACCAAAAACTGGTGAAGCAGGATAAAAGTGTTCTCATTGCCATTAAATTTATAAAAATAAAAAATAAATAAATAAATTTGCATATGATGAGTAAATGATTATTTTCAGTGCCTACTGCTTTGTGAAAACCAAATAGCCAATTATTCCCTACCCTATCCGAGGATAAAAAAATCAAAAAATCACCCAAGAAAATATTCAAAATAATTCGAAAAATTCGACAATTGCCTCGCGAAAGAAAAAAATATGCAGAATTTTTTCTCTGCTCGCAAATCTATTTCACATAGCTCGATGAGTTACACTTGCTCGTAAACTATGGTCGACATTACGAAAAAAGAGAACAATTAACGAAAAATACAGGGTAATGCCATATTTCAAGAACCATGACCACCAGAGTACAAAGAATGGAACTTTTTCTCTTTCATTAGCTCAAATATTATGTAACGTTACAAATCTTACAAAATAGAATCGAATACGCACACATCTAAATTGGGTGGCTTGGTTATAGAGGCGACACGAGGGTACGTAGAAAAATCTTTCGTCTTGTATATACAAAGAATGGCACTAATATTACAAGCTTTTTATTATGCATTTTTGTGCACCCTATAGATTTCTTGTGGACAGTTTACGCACGGGTGGATGGTCGAACTGTCCGCCCCCTTTTGTGTGCAAAAAAAAATATGTATATATATTGAAGAAAAGAACCCGAAAGAAAAAGCTTAGAAATGAAACTTTTGGCCTTTCAAGAAGAAGAGTTATTTTCTACACACTCTGAAAGGGTTGAACAATGTAAACTTTTATCGAGTTCAAGCAAAGGCTGTAAACTTCTTTCTACCTCGAGACTTTGCAGTTTGACTTCTTCAACAATCATAGACAAAGCGACCTTGCACGATTCATCGTCTCGAAAAGCCAGAGTCCACCTTCCGTCGACCAAAGCTTTCGATTTTACTTTTCCAGGGGAAGTAGTCTGCTTAGCAACGTCTGTGATGGGGAATGAGGAGGGCCGTATTCGAAGGTGCAGCCACCTTGAATGTTTATCATCTAATCTGGGCTGAAGGGGAAAAAAAATAATAGTGTGTGGATATCGATTTAGTCAGATATCTTAGCCTTTAATTACGCTTCAAAACGAACTTTGTTAGAAATTAGAGGGAAAATAGAAAATACACTTGGACTATCAAAGTTTGCTAAATTCAGACGAGTAAATGCCCCTCTCCGTACTCATTTATTTACTTGTATGGTTTTCTCCACATGATTGATTTACATAGACTGGTTCGAGGGTATATGGGGAAAAAAAAATTAAGAGACTGTAAAAGCAAAACTCACATTACATCCAGCTAGCGGTGCTACAACTCGAACAATTCCATGTTGTGGTTTCATGGGTAACTCCTCGGCAAGTACAAGCCACCCAGAGCTTCCAACAGAGAGTGCTAGAAATTGAAAATGACGTTCCTTGCCCCTCTCAAATGCAATACGACAAGGCACTGCGTCCACTGAAGGAAGACGGAAAATACAAAGTTAAAATAAAATAGGAATTCCGAGCCGCGCAAGTTTTTAAACGTAAGAAACTTTTTGGTCCTTTTAATAACAATGCTCAGAATGAAAAAGCAAGAACAAGAATGAAGAACATCAAATGCCAAGACGCAAACATGGATATGCAAATAAGAATCACCGAGAAATATTTCGGCATTTGGTTTTAGTCCGGGTGGATTTACACCAGCTTTCTTTGCTCTGGACATTTCTGGAATATCAACTGCACAAAGTACAGGAGGTTGATCTGGCAAAACTTTACCGAGGGAGAAAATATGGAGATGGTGAAGCAGTGCAAACACCTGCAGAGGTCATAACACTTGAAAAGTAAATATTATTATTATTATAAAAAAAAACGACCATAGCATTTGCACTCATAACCATCTGTAATTAATATCAGCTACTTAAATAATACTTTATTCCAGATCAACTTATGTGGATGGTACACGTGACATAAAACTGCATTCTTGTGTATTAATGAAACTATCATAATGAAAAGCAATGTAGGTTTCAACCTTCACGGTCTCACACATTCTCTCTCCAGCAGCAAAGGAAGATTCACCTAACGCGTGCTCTGTAAGAGGAGGGAAAAATCAATAGTATCTACTTCTGTCTCAGTTATTACAGAGATAGAGAGAGGGCGAGAGAAGGTACCATCAGAGGCAGATTTGTATGGGTGCAAGAGCATAAACTTGGGATCTTTCCGAGGAGAAGAAGCTTCGATTGCTACATGTAGTGATTAAGTCATTCAACGTAATTAGTTAGCCACATAACGCATCTGTCTTAAAAATTTCGAAAGAAAAAAAGAAAAGGAAATTACATACCTCTTTTGCACTTTCTCCACTCGTCGCAAATAATTGTCACCAAAAGATCAGACCAAGGTCCCCTGGTCTCCTCTAGAACACGATTAGTGCAAGAGTGGAATGAATCCTAAAGATAAAGACATCTTGTCATTCTATGCAGACAATGACAACATAGTAAACTTATTTTTCAAGAACGGCTAAAAGTTCAACCAAAAAGTACTAGAAGAAAACGACGACCCTAAAAAGACGGGGAAAACAATACAATCAGAAATGATTGTCTGCGGGAGAACTGATGAAATTTAACAGCGTACAAGTTTTAGAACAAACATAATGTCATCATAATAAGACCAGACTATATATCCATCTAAGAAGCAATTTCAGGTCGCTTGTAAGACAACTTACTTTGAGTAATCTAAGGTGGTGGCTGTTAAACTCTGCCTCACTATAAGGTAACAACTGCCGCAAAAGCCAACCACCATCCCATAATGTTTCTGCAGAGATATTTGACCTGCAGAAGAGACTGACCAGCGCATCGAGTACCTAACAATCAGAATACTTGGTTCAATAAACGTACATGCGATGCAATACGTAACCATACAATGAGTGTCATTCAGTTTCCATGTTCAAATAATAAGTTTCCTTAAGTATTCACAACCAGACGAATGAGAAGCTAGCTTAGTTCCATACTAAAACCAGCATCAGGCAAAGGAACCTTCTTTCGAACTAATCATTCCTTCTATCCTGGCCAATTTGGTTCCACTAGTTAATCGGTAGTAATCAAGGATACAATAAAAGTGTGTACGACAACTCTGCCCACCTTTGCAACATGAATCTCATTTAACAGCTCCATGAGTTTGTAGATATATCACAATATAGGGGTGAGTTAATTTACGTTCCAAAGATTCGGAATACTCAATCCATTTCGGTATGTTAATAAATCAAACAAGTTTCGACCCAAATGCTTTTGGTATATACCTTCGACTCTCATTATCAAGATTATTTTTCCAGAACCTCACCTCAAAAGCATATGTACATGCACAAGCATGATATTCGGTGTAAACTAGTAAAGCTACAAGATGCAATGAGATTAGAATCTCTAGCTTTAGAGTGAGTACATACTTGAAATCTATGCACCCGAGGGCTCACTCCAACCTCTTGGCTTGCACATGGAACTCCAACATAATCCTGTTGATTGAAATTCAGTAAAGTAAGTCCGAATCTAGGGATGTCACTTGCTTGAAATTGAAGAATAGCATTAGAAATTAATCTGCGATGAAATGATATTTATATGATAATTGACCGCAGAAGAGGCCGACTGTGATACAAGATTTTATGACCTGATGACTCCTTTTAACTTTTCCTAAAAAAAATCCTTTCAACTGCCAATTCATGGTATTTGACTATTTGGCAACCTGATTATTTAGCTTGCTTAGCTCTCCTTGCAGCTAGAAGGTATTGAATAATAATATACTATGCACATTGATGGAGCATATTCATGGTACTAGTACCATCATAGTTGACCCATAAATCCAAGACCTTTATCAAACTACTAGCCCACTACCCAAATTCAAGTACCGCAAAAGAAAATTAATGTATGAATAAACTCAATAATTATATTTCCGTAAATAATTACAGTGATGCAGTCACTGCTCCCAGAACATGGAAAGATCATGATTGACCAAAACCATTTTCGAACAATTACATGAGGCAGTAAGAAATTTGAATCAACAAGGCTGTCTATCTTATATGTTAAATATTTATGTATGCATTCAGAAAATCTATAATCAAGTTCAGAAACAGTAGTGAGTTAGTATGAAGCAGAGCAGAAGTACCTTCAACTTTTGAAGATAGAGATCAAGTTCACTACTGAAGCCATCCTTAACCCCACTACCTTCGGAAGCGAAAAGTTGTTCTTCCCCAGAATCTTCCCCGACCAAGGCTTGCTATAGAGATACAACAAAAGAGCATTCTAATAAAACCTATAAAGCATAACACCACATACATGTTGTGTCTGCCAGATTGAAAGAATTGTTAAATAAACTACCAGATGTATATCAAATAAAGATCATAGCCAGTGGTAGCGCATATTGTCACATGCTGACTAAAATTTACTTGAAGACCACACAAACTCAGATAACTAGAAAATGGCCGAAATTAGATGGCACGTGCTGGGAACTTATGGTCTATTTAGTTGACTCCAGAAAACTGAGTTCGTAAAACCCCAGTTACAGCTATCAGAGCTCAAGTCCTGCTACAACCCATTTCTATTTGGTTATTAAAATGATTGACATGATATTAACATCAAACAGCGAACTGTAGAACACATATAGAACCAATGAACATCCACAAGATCAGGATCAAGAAGCCAAAAATACAATCCTTACTTTTTCCGAACCCAGGCAAAACAATTTGGTCGTCCATGTTGACATCAGAATTCTACATTGTGTACAACAGGAAAGAGGAAGGAAGCAAATTAAACCTAGCTTCACTCGTCTTTCCAGCTACGATGTTGAAAATAAGGCAAAAAGGCTTCCTCCGCCTAAGCATTCCCTCATTTTTTTCTCTTCTAAAACATATACAGAACTACCAAAAGATTCCTATAACCATTCCCTTTGTGACTGTCCTATTTTTCCTCCCATCAACAGACAATTGCACACTATTCCACTTTCTCTTTATGTTTCCAATATAGTTTCCTTCATTTATCTTTCATGTTTGATTGTAAAGAAGAAATCTCATAACCACATACCAGCAGCTTCTTCTTATGCTGTTTGCGTTGTGGAAGTATGCCAAGAGCATCGACCATTGATTCATCCAGTTCTGCAAATGCATTCATTACTTATATCATTGCATATAAGCATCAATTAAATAGTTAAACAAGGTGGAGGTTTCTTACCTTTAGTCTGCAATAAAGTAGCCAGCACATTTAAAGAGCCTGAAACTTGAACATCATCTCCATTGGCAACAAATGAAAGCAAAGCTTCCCTGTGTAATTTGCACCAACAGACCATATATCAGCAACTGTACAGAAAAACTTACATATTCTCTGGCTGTTGCGAAGGACAAGAAAATGATGCCGAGCATGATTCTGAGCAACAGAAAACTCCTCTTTGTTCACCAAGGTATTTCACACTATTCATCACCCAAGTGAAGTGACAGAAAAAACGACCTATGAATACTCTTCAGTGTCATAACTGAGTGAGTTATACCAGATACTACAGACCATCCATTCAATAAAGCCTACTTCTATCAGTATGAAGTCAAAGTTTTATATCACTAAACAATCATATAGCATCTCATGTTTATGTTCCAAAAAGATTCCAAGCCCCCAAATAAAAAAAAATGAAAAGAAACACACCCAAAAAAAAAGCATGTAAAAAATTTCAAAAACAAATTGACCATGGATTGGGATGGGTTCTCAGAATAATTTTTAGGAGTAAAAATGTATCTCTGAGAATATACATTCAGGCAACATCAAGCCATACATGAACAGCACGAAGACTTATATTCCACGGACTTGAATTAAATAACCATATGCAACCCCTGGAGTGGCGGGATGGTCGTTCTCTTTCATACTGTTGTGTGATACTTCCTAAACCATACTTCAGTGACATAACGTCAAAGTAGATCATCATTAATTGGCACATGTCATAAGATGTAAAGTGAATTTTGTTGAGCGGTTGCTTATAAATAACATAAAACTCAATGAAGTGATTAGCAAAATGTTAAATCTTGACATTAGAACTGACAAGAGGTGTTAATCTGAACTTCAAATATTAATCCCAATGTAAAATTTGTTTGAGTAGAGTTGAAATAAAAAACAGAGTCGAAATGTACAAGACTTTTGCTAAGTTAAATATGAAATCAAAGGTGATTAACAGAATTGATTACCTTGGAGCAAACTGTCTACCACCACAATCATGAACCAAGACACCATCTTGTGGAAGGTTTTCAGAAGAGTTACATGTTGGAATAGAAACTCGCAATCTTCCAGCATCAGACCCTGAAGCGAGAGTATTCTCATCTATCTGTTGGCTTGCTGCATCTGAAGAAACATGGCCCAACACATCACCATTGAGCTTAGCTTCAGAATTCTCAGTGACGGACTCTGGACAACATAAAAGAGCAGCAGCAATAGTGTTTGCCAGATCTTTGATTTTCACTATGCGCAAAATGCAACAAAGTAAATATAAAGAAGTGACAGCACCAAGACTTGATTCCTGAACGTATAACACTCACATTGTCACAAAAAACATTTCAAATAAAAGCATAAAACCACTGAAATACAAAAAGCTCATAATGGCTGCCAAAAGTTAACAAACAAACAAAACACACTCATAGGGAAAGAAACAGCTGATAGGAATATATACCTTGACTGCTTCAGTCCTCAAGGAAGGAAGAACTGACGGAAATATCAGAAGACTCAAAACGTTGTCCATAATTAACCTCCCAACATCAGGAATTCCAGCAGAAACAACGTCACTAAAATAATAGAGGTTGTCTTCAATCTCGTCAACGGCAGAAAGAATGGTAGACGTTGAATCCACCTCCTGACTCCTTTTCAAACCGTAATTATTTAATGTCAGCAAGAACCAAGAAATCAGAACTTAAGAAAGAATATTCCGAGACTACAAAACTTTATAACTTACTTTGAAGCATTTGAAACGACTAAATTCAAATGGATACATTGATCTCGGAAAAATTTGACCAAGTTCATGAAATAATCCGCATGAGGAGCCATTGACACAAACCTATTTACAGCATCATCTCCAACTGCAAATCAGTGGAAGGTAATTTTTTATGTAAATCACATGTTCAGAGTGTGCTTCAACAACGTGAGTTAAACAATATCCATTCCAGAAGCCAAGAAAAAGTCAAAATCAAAACTCACCATGATAAACGTTCAGTGTTAAAGCACGTACAGCAGTTCGAATCATACTTTCTTCATGGAAAGCAAACTGTATTGCCTCAACGTATAGGGGGAAAGAAATAACTTCATCCTAGATGAGAAAAAAAAAAAGAGCAAAAACAAAGAACATGAGATGCAATAAGTCGCAGCAACATATCTATCGCGGGTATTGCTTCAGCTACCTATCCTTTTCAAAAATATTGGAAGTTCTGAAACTAAATGTCATCCTGATGCAATCTTTCGCAAGTTAACAGAAATAATATATGGAATGGTTTTAGTTAAAAAAAAAAAATCGCCATGCATCTCTCTTCCTGGAGCCAAGTACTTTTTGTATTAAGCAAATAAAGAGAAAATGACATAATAGTATTAAACAACAGCAGCACATAAAAAAGCTAAATAAACTTACATTTTGGGTCTTAAGAAGGAGAGAAATTGTATCTTTGTTCAACTTGCCACTTATTGCTCTTTCTCAGACCACAAACAGTTGAAAAAACAAAGTCAGGAAGACAAACTCCCAAAATGACACAAAGAAGTAAACGAAAAATGCTTAGAACAACGAAGGACAACATGAAACAACTGAATTGTGGAGCATACCTTAGGAAAGATATGTAGTAAGATAATAGCTCTTCATTTCGGAAGTCGAATGAATAATTTATAAGGTAGTTAACATGTTCATTGCTAAACATATAATCTGCAGAATTTCCAAAGAGAAATACTCAGAGAGGCCAAAATGGTGGCGGTATTCAAAATCTTGTGCTGCTCACATTGAGATGTTATTATGTAACTTACATATGGACTGTTCACTTTTTAGGTTCTGGATCATTATGCTCATTGTTTGCAATAGCTGGACTGAGACAACCAAAGTTCTACTAATGCTTAATATCCGTACAAACTCACTCATGACCTGCTTCTCCATGAAAAACCTACAAGGAACCAAACTGATCAAACTGTGGGGAAAAAAAAGGGTGTGTATTTGTAAGACAGTATATGAGCATTGATGCCGTACTCGAAATAGGAAGCATCATGTTGGTCACCATAGGTTATCAACTCAGCAATAGATCTCAAAGCCTCAATCACGAAGTCCTGGGAAATATAACATAATATGTGGAGTTAAAACATCAAAAGTAGTGTCCAGAAGATGCCAGAGTAATTGCCCAAAAAGTAACAATAAAAGACAAGCTACCTTGGTAACCTCATTCACAGTTTGAACTTTCATCAGTTGATCGACTAGGAATCTGGCGGAGAGAAGGGAAATTTGGTAGATTTCAGCCGATAGTGTATGTAGTAGTATTTGAGAAAATATATTGATTTTAGATAGTACGAAGAACAACATTGGAAGCAATACAAATCCATTTATAGATAACATCAAGGACAACATTACAATTTAGAAGCAATACAAATCCAGTATCGTATAGTAAAGATAAATACTGATTTTGAGAGATTAAAAGTCATGAAATCAGATAATAGATACGGGAAAAAATCGTTCATCATCACACACAAATAAAGAAGGTTAAAATTCAGTAGCTAAAAGCTAGAGAAAAAACATGCAACTCAAATAGCAGCACCAACGTTATGAAATGAGTATACTAAGTTAATAACCACCTCATCCAAAAGCTTATTTTATTGTAGGAGTTTCACTTTAGTATTTCACTTTATAATAGGGTATATAGGATTTTATCGTATATTGAAAATGATATAGGCAATATTTTATGGCAGCTATGAGTTCACAACTTCTCTTTCGACATCCCTTCCAGTAAAGAAGACACGTAACAAGCTGTGATCATCTTTTTAAGTTGGTTGTCAACATCCAAACTAGGATTTTAGGAAATCATCAGAATTAGATACATGGATCAGCATGATTCATTGCAAGGTGCATATCTGCTAGATATATAAGCAGCATCAGGGTGTGCATTGTTTAGTCTCGGAATGTAAGAAGCATTAGGGGTCTGCAAGTTTTGGTATACCGGCCTAAAAGTGCTGAAACTAAATTTTGGTACCCCAACCGAAACAGAAACGAAATATTATGTTTGGTATTCTGCAACATTTTATTATTATTATTCAGTAATACATTTTGGTTGGGCTTCGACTACCTGATAAGATAGAAACAGTATAACTAAGAAAACTAATCTGGTCTCTCAACAGAAGATCCCCACTATAATATCCTGCTTTGAGTAAAGATATACCAGCTATATGTACTGTACATAATAACCACGGAAAGGTTTTAAGCTGGAAAAGATGGAATGCAACGAGGAATGAACAGTCGATCCAAATATGTGAAGGACCCCAAAATCAAGAAAGACAACGATGAGACTTCCGAATCAAAACAATGCTGCACATAGTTCTCTATCACTAATAATAATCCATTTGGTCACAGCCTCACAGGATCACCCCCAAACCATTTGAATTTTCTTTACATTATTTTTTTCTAATTTCTAGTGTAGCAATTACTCGAAAATATCCATAGTAAGTCATTGAAACGTCGAACTTAGTTCTTAGACACACTAACTTTGAGTTTCCCAAATCCCCAAGAAAACCCCTCATTTCAACTGTAAACAGGTTATTAATCAAATTTGTCAACTCCAATGGTAATTAATGAGCAATAATGCATACTCGAAATTATTTCAAGGACTTTTCATTCGTTGCAATCGAAACTTAAATAAATTTCATACTACTGAATTAAATACTATTCAAAATCTACCACGGAGTAAACAATTAGGCAATGTAGACATCAAACAAACTAGAAAGCTACGAAACAAAACCTCTGTTCTTGAACTATTAGGCAATGTGATTCAACTAAGCAAAATAATTATAATTGATATTAAACAAAATACTACCTGAGTTCATCTAAAGAGAATCTGTCCCGGGATTTCCAAAAGGAAAACCACATCCTCTTAAGAACTCGCGATCACAGCTCTCTTCTTCTTCGCATCAAATTTCATCCTCCGAAGTCCCTTCGGACTTCAATTACCCACCTCCCACTCAGTTTTTAGGGCTAATTACAAGCAATTGCGGCTCTATCGAATGGGGGAGAAAACGGTAATTGCCGCAAAAAGAAGTCCACGGCGAGAGGGGTTAGGGTTTGCGATTGCCGGATCTTCCACCGGAAAATCGAAAGCGACGAGAATCAGCGAAATAATTTAGAAGAGAATATGCCGGGATAATTATCAGATCATAGATGGCAAATTGAGATCACTATCCGGGTCGGGTTGCCGGAAAGCGGGTCCGGGTCTTGACGTTTGACAAATTCGACGGATGACGATGGTGGTGGTGGTGGTGTCGTGTTTGAAGCCACCTGTCAGAAGTTGTCTGAACTTAAATTGCACCGTGCGCAATTGTTTTGAAATTAGTAGAGAAGCCCTCTATGTTTTCGGATATTCCGGTATAGCACGTAACTTTTCAGATATTGCACTTGGGTTGAAAGATTTGCACAAACTAATTTAAATTCAGATTGAGAGATTCAACTCCCTTACTCGAACCCTAGATAAATTAGGATTTAGTTGTTTGGTTTAAGTAGGTTATTAATTATTTTATTTTTTGGAATAGAGTTCTAATATTGTAATTTAGGTAGGTAATCGACTTTTTTACTGTCATTTTTCCCCCCAATTTTAACATTCACTAAAATTCATATTAAAAAATTTCCCCCAATTTTAAAAACATATTAGTAATATTTTCAATAACGAAAGAACAATTTTTAATTTGATACTAGGGTTTAAAATTGGTGGAAAACTAATTTTCAACAACTATGCATTTTTCAAGAACAATAAATTGAACTTTCAAATAGGGTACGCAACGGTTCTAGCCTACAACATTAGTTTGTCGAAATCTCATTATTCTCCTATTTCTTTTTCTTTGATCTTCATGTCTTCCTCGTCATCGATTTCTTGCGTGAAATGCGAAACATTGTGATTTCAAGGATTTCAAAGCAAACAAATACATGTATAAAGTTGTTGATGCCCGAAAACGTTGTCCGGCACATTTTTCGAAAATGTATGTCGGAGCACGTTTTTGAAAAACATTGTTTGATAAAAATAAATAAAAATACTTGGAATTATTTTGATAAAATAACATGTTTTTATGACTAGTAGCGTTTTTTAAGTGGAAATGAAGTGTAATTGTAATTATGATATAAAGTGAGGGGCATTCAAAACATTTCAGGACAGGTAGGAAGTTAACTGTAACCAAAACTTAAAAGGGAGAGTGCAACGGTCAAAGTAAAGTACTGGGAAATTAATCGTACATGAAACGAGGCAAAAGAGATTTACGAGCCAAGAAAAACAAACTCGTAGATAAGTAATGTGAGCTATAATTTATTGGGCTTCTAAATGGGCCTTTTGCAATATTGAGTGGGCCCCTTCGTCACCTATCATTTACGTGGAGTCGTTTAGTGGATTGGGCCCTTATAAAATAAATCTATAATAACGAAAAAATATAACCAGCTTGTCACACAAGGTTAGTCTATTGTGGTTTATTTCAGCGCACTTATATAGTTGGTTTACGGATTTTCTTTTACCAAAGATGAAATAAAATTGCAACGTCGGAAAATAAATTTACGAACAGTATATATATGTATTGTTGATTAAACGACGACTGTCGATCAAAAGTTGGGTGCTTAGCGACAAAAACGAAAGAAGACAAAAATAATTTATTTATATTTATATTTTTATCAAAAAATTACCATTCTCGTACATTATACACGTCTGCACACGCAATCTTCTGTTACGTCCCCGTATAAAAAGATCCACACTCCATCCACATGGCCATTAACATGCGCGCACAATAGCCTCCCCCGCCTCGAAGAAAAAACTACGATAGCTAACATACGCCGAATCTTCTCGAAATTCGTTCGGCCACCTCCATATATATAAGAGCCCCTGTATATTGCGAAAGCTGATGAAAAAACTTAGGAATTAAATAAACCCCAAAAATTTAACCTATATATATATATTTTAACACACAGTAGGCGCACGCACGCAGTGGGAGTGTGGAAGTAGTATGTGTGTAATATTGGGGTGCAGGGAGGAGGAGACGGAGATGGGGAGGCAGCAGGCGGCGGGATCGTGCCCGTACTGCGGCGGAAAGGTGCATGCGGTGGACGTGAGCAGCCGGTGGCGGTGCTGCTTTCTCCCAATTTGCTTCAGATTCAAACGCAAGTATTTCTGCACTCTCTGTTCCCGGCGCCTCGTTTTGTACGATGCCTAATATAATTAAGCTCCGTCGGAGATTATATAAATTAGTAAGTAATTACGTACTAATTACTACTTAATTAATCAGCTCTCTCATCGATCATCATTGATCCACGATCTCCTTGAGATTGATAATCGATCATCATCGCCTACCTGGGTAATTTAATTTGTTCTCATTAGTAATTGTAATTTGAAAAATCAATTTAGTCTGTATTTTTTTCTGGAAATTAAATAATTGTGTGAGTGTGTGTGTGTGTGTGTGCGTATTGTGTACGTGTACTTGCACTTTTACATCCACGCGCCGTCAGTCGGTCACGGGAATTCATGTGAGGAATTAAGTTTGCTGTTGATTTTTTTTTTCAATGTAAATGATCAGATGATTGTATTTGTGTATGGTATTTTTATTGGAATTAGTACACTTTTGATTCCAAAAAATAATAGGAATTATAATCTCGTTTCGAAAATTTATGAGGGATCGGAAATCGGAATTTTCGAAAATTGTAATGCAATAACTAGTGAAAATTTCAAATCGGAGTCGGTGGAAATTGATTTTTCTTTTTAGCTACCTGCAATATAAAAGTACATAATAATCGAAAAATTTGAACTTTAGTAATCCGGAAAGAAAAGTTATGTCAAGTTTAAAATTTTGTTTCAATTTTTCACCCCGAATTAAAAACCTAAGTTTCTAAAATATACAACAACAACCGTCATTTGTTTTTAAAAGTAGACATTTAGTGACGTATTTTAGCATCTGGCGACAAATTTATTTCTAAAACCTCGTTCGGTTGCCACCGGTCGATTCATTAATTAGTAGGAGCAATTGGTAACATACTAACATGTGCAGTTATCAATAGTCAATACTCATACTAACAAACACACAACAGAAACTAAGGCCCCGTAATTAAGTACGGGCCTACGGCCATCGATGAAGCCTAAATGACCTTATCACGAATAATAGGAATACAATGGCGAAAAGGGAAAAGCGCAAATGAGGAAATCCCAAGTGCTCCGTGAGACCTGAACAAAGGAGTATCGGAGAAGGTATTTCTAAAGTTATTATTCCGACAATCAAATCAGTCGGAATGGAAAATGATAAATGCGTATTTAGAGAAAAAATATAACGGAATGGCACATGTTTCCACTCCTACCTCTGACACCGGGCCGAGTAGTAATCACATTTGCCCGGCGTGGGGTTGGCGGTACGCTTTATCAAATATAGTGGACAATGCAAAACTGGCTTTGGGCCGTCTTTGGGCTTTGTGTAGAATCTTTAGTATGTATGGAATTTCGAGTAATCGAGCATGTATCGGCCATACAACAAAATCGGCCATACAACAAAATCGTGAACGTATTAGTAAACTAATTAAAAATATATATATTAACTTCAACATCATAATTAAGACAATCACTAAATGTTATCTACTAGCAGAATTTAAATTTTATGCACAAAAATGCAATGAAAAACGAAATAATGCAGACAACGAATTGATCGAATTGGGAAAGAAGTCACGTTGTGATAGTGAATTTTCCTAAAACCCTATAGTTTCTCACTACAATAAAACTTTGTACAGTTTCTGCAAAACTACAAATAATTGATAGTGACAGAAAAAAATATATTCACCAGTTTTTTTATTTTTATTTCAATTTATTTGATCAATTTCACCTTACTTTGGAAGAAACTCCAATATTATTATTCTAAAAAAACAATAATGTCAATTATTAATGGAGAAAGCGCAGTCAAAAACAAAATTTATCATGTATAACTAACAATATTTTTCAATCCAAATTTCGATTTACCATTTTCCGAAATTATTTGGATCGAAATTGGAAGATAGATGAGATTCCGATCCGATTTTAAGTCCCGAATTTCCGATTTCTTTTCCGAAATTACGCTTAAAATATCGATATTATTATGTAGTTTGTATTTTATGTAACAAAATATTGAAAATTTCCGAATTCTTCCGAACCAAAATTTTCTGATTTTGGAACAAGTTGTTTCATTTCAATTTCCGAAATTCCGAATCCAATTTTTTTTTTTCGAACCGAATTGGAACTAGTTTTTCATTTAAAGTCGTTTTTTTCCAAAACGGCTAATTCCAACCCGATCCATCTGATTTACACCCTTCTACTCCTCCTCGATAAAATGCAGAGAGGTTTAGGCACGTTTACCTTAATTAATACAAGGGAGCTTTGCATGGTTTTACCCCAAAACTAGTGATGATTAATAAAAATTATATTCATGTATAATTAACAACAATGAGCAAGATTTAATATAATTATTTCAACTTAGGAAAAATCAAAGAACTATTTGCAACAAGTCAAAAACCCAAACCATTGCTTATATATATATATATATATATATATATATATATATATATATATATATATATATATACATGGTATTCTATATTGTCATCCTCCCACCAGTCCTCTCCACAATATATATATATGTATATATCTTAACAAATAACACAAAAAAAATAATTAAAAAAAAAAAAAAGTGGGTACAAATTGAAAAATATAGAGCTCTCGAATTAGCATGCGAATCATGTACGTGTGCGAAGAAGAGGAGATCGAAATCGGGCGAAAACGAGCTCCCGGAAAATGCCCTAGCTGTGGAGGGAAAGTAGAAGCAGTAGATATAAAAGCAAGAGGAATATTCTGTTATCTCTTCCCACTTTGCTTCAGAATCAAAACCAACTATTTTTGCACCCTCTGCTCCAAACGTTTGGTTTTGAACTCACAGATTCATCACCTGTAATTTTTTTTTAATTTTTTTTCTCTCAATCTTTTTTTCATTTAACTTTTAAGTTTAATTTACCTGTAATAATTTCAGCTGTGTATATTTATTTATTTATTTATTTATTTATATTGTGTGGTTTAATGACTTATAATCATAACTGATATTCCGTTCAATATTTATCATTCTAGAAGATTTTGCTGGAGAAAATTTTGACCAGTATTTGGAGCCATCAGAATAAAAAAGGTTGGTGGGAATAAATTTAAATTAAATAAATACTTATAAAATTTAATTAAAATAGCATAATTTAAAAAATGGAGTTGGGATTTTATAATATATTTATATATTTTTTTAAGAAATTCTCTGCTAATTAAAGAATAATGATTTCTGATAATTTATTCAAATTTCCAGTTTATATAGTGTACGCACACACACCAATGTGTGTGTGTGTGTTTTATGTGTAAATTATATGTTGTTCTTTCTGGGCATCAAATATTGGGACAATTCTGAAAGGCGAATCCCAAAATACTCTTACAGAACACAAAAGTAGTTACATATCAACATCTAAATACTTATATACAAACGTATCACAAATTACTTTACGAGTACATTTGGAATTATCGCTATCCAAAATCATATTCAGTAAATCTGAACTGCTGTCAATTTTATTTATTATTTTTGTAGGCCATATATGCGCAGAAACGGCTTATGAGATCTTACACCGGGTGGAATGCACCATGTGGTTTAAAACCGTAGATGTACATAAATAATTATTCACTAAGCACATATACACATTGGGGGTGTGTGTTATTATGTGTAGTCAAGAAAAAATATATGTGCACCAATTGCTCGAAGCGATTCGTTAAACATTGGTCTGTAATTTGATGGAATCAATGCAGATGCACAGGAAACACGTACGGTGCACAAATTAAAGTATTCTACTTGGGAAAGATAGCTTTGGGGTGACTGTGTATCCTAATGTAGATTACGCCTTCATCGTTTCGCTTGAGGAAATTAACCAGGACAGATCAGGTGAGGATTAATGTCTATATTTAACGAGTTTGCGTTTTGAATAAGTCCTTTAGACCCTTTGTTTTGATTTTAAGAGCTTTATGGTTTTGTAATTAGACCTTAATATGTTTACTAAGCCTCGTTTGGTTACCAAGATAAGATTAACCTGGATAAGATAATTTGCACCCTAACTAAAACTATCAATTTTGGCTATTTCAGAAAAAAAGGTAAAATTCTTCAATACTCAAGCCACATCAATATCGAAAAACGAGCGGAAAAAAAATAGAAAGATATAGTGCAATTTAAAATAATGTTACTAAAACCGTACTAAAAGCTCCATGTAATGTCCACCTGAGTGTAGCCTTAGTTTCTTCTTCTCTTCTTCGCGCGCCTATCATCATCATCACTTAATGATCCAGATTCAGATTCTTCTTGTGAGTTTTGTTGTTGGATTACGAGCCTTGGCATGTTTTTGTAATAGTCTTGCAAGTTGTCTGTGATGCCGCCAAGTCCAATGGAAATGAAATAGTTTATGGCAAACCTAGTGTTGATTGGATTATCCTTTGGAAATATAGATTCGTCGAAAATTTCTTTACTCAGACGTTCACTGAGCATGCGAATTCCGAGGTGCTCGGATAATTCCTGGAAGAGAAACTTGATGAAAATACGAGAAGAAGAATTTGTGCTGTCTTTAGTCAACCGTATATACGCCAAAACGTGCCAAGGCAACGCGTCTGTGGCAAGTAGATGAGCAAAGAAGTTTGCCACATTCCGTATTTTATTCGTCTCGAGGTGATGTATGGTGGAGTATTGGTGGACAAAATACTTTTCAAAGTTTTCCTTGTGAATATTCTTCATCATACAAAACCGCTGCCCAATGAGTCCGTAGTAGCGTATGTAGGTTCGCTCCTGGCTGCAGCATTCTAACAGCATAATGCAGAGTTCCATCTCGTGACCAGGCTCCGTTTCCATTATCTCCATCAGCTTATGCCCTGCTTCTTCAAAATCAACACTAGACATAATCGTCAAATACATACTTCTTCGAAGATTGATCAAATTCGTCTCTGTTTCATCCCTTATTAATTCCGATTCCGATTCCAATTCTTGATCATCTTCTTCTTCTTCTTCTTCTTCTTCTTCTTGATCTCCTAGAATATCCTTCTTCAGTTGTTCATATATTTTCTCATTCTCTAGGAAATTCGGATCCGCCTTGAAAACATCTATGGCGATTTGGGGGTCAATCTTATCAGCCAATGACAACTCAACATGGGTAAATTGGTCTTCTTTCTCCACTAAATCCAATTCCGGACGAATAGCAGGGTACCCCTGGAACTTCGCTTTACGCAATGCAAATAGGCCTTCGGTCAAGGACACGTTTATCTATTTGTTTTCCTTCATGAAGAAAACCACGGAATCGCTCAAACACACCATGCAATCCACGTGGACAAACTTCTAGAAGCAAAGCCCCACATTCTGTAACGAAGCCAACAGCCACTTCAACACTGTCATCGGTTGGGTTTTCGAGCAGCAAAGTGAGCAGCTCGAGAGAGATAAGCTCATGAACTACGTTCTGATTCACCAGGTGCGCTATAAATTTGACCGCAGCAAGTAATCTTGGCTTATCATTGCGCTTGTACGCAATCTGGAACTGTAATATTATCCTACGCAATAGAACGAGCCCAACTTCAGGGAACTTGGTGTTTACCACAGCAACCAATGCTGCAAATACGTCGGTGAAACGTGGACACGCTGTTTGAGACTTGATGCATGATCGACAAAATAAACCCCTACCTCGTACTAGATTCTCCGCAAACAGTTCCGGAATTATGTTCTTGATGTTGTTGGTACTCACTTTGTTGACCAACCCGTTGATACTCTTTCTCAACGCATCCCACGCAAGTCTTTGATACTCGACGCTGCTTTCGTCCTTGATTTCTTTCATCATTCTCGCACACGGAGCCATGCCAATTTTATTTTATTTTCACAGGGAATAATAATAATTAATAGGTTTGTTTCTTTTCTTCTAGGGTTTATAATAAGAATAATAATGTTGAACATATATAGACAAGAAAAAGAGAGATATATATAGACATTGTGAGAATTGGAGTTGTTGTAGGAATACAAGTCCGAGATTCACTTTATTCTGAAAGGAAACTACCTACTAATTAATTATGACTCCAATTGATTTCAATCATTCCTTCAATTTTACGTGCCTTAGGGCCCATTGAATATATTTTTCCATTTTTTTTTTTTACATCAACATAAGAGTATAAATTTGTGTATGAGGTCTTTGAGTATTAACAAATAACAATACATAACTACGAGTGCACGCTAACTTTTTTTTAGAAAAAGAAGATATATTACGTTATCAAATATACAGTTTCCTAAATGAGTGGATATTGTTGATTTCACAACACTCCCCCTTAAGTTGGAGAGTGAACATCGAGAACTCCCAACTTGACTAAGATCGCGACAAAATCATCCTTCCCAACGGCTTTGTGAACACATCGGCCAATTAATTGGTTTCTTGAAGCGACGTAAGTAGTGGTAATTGATCCATCTTGAATTTTGTCTCTAATAAAATGGCAATCCCTTTCAATGTGTCGTGTTCTCTCATGGAAGACCGGGTTTGTAGCTATGTGTAAAGCTGCTTGGTTATCACAATAAAGTGTAGCAGCTTCAGTTTGTGTAGTTTCCAAATCACTCAGGAGGTCTTTAAGCTAAGAAATCTCACAACATGCTCCTATCATTGATCGATATCCCGCTTCAGCTGAAGATAAAGATACTGTGTTTTGTCGCTTGCTTCTCCATGAAATCAACGATTTTCCAAGGAAAACACAATATCTCGTTGTTGATCTTCGGGTTGTTGGGCAACCTGCCCAATCTGAATCGCAGTAGGCGCGCAACTTTAAATCGCTTTGTGCTGGAAAAAATAGGCCTTGGCCTGGTGCTGACTTGAGGTACCGCAATACTCGTTGTGCAGCATCTATGTGAGGTTTACGCGGCTCATGCATAAATCGACTTAGTACATGAAGAGCATAGGTGACATCTGGTCTTGTGATAGTAAGATAAATCAAGCGGCCTACCAATCTTCGATATCGAGACGGTTCATTAAGAAGCTCTCCAGAAATGGAAAGTTTGAGATTTTGGTCCATAGGAAAAGTGACGGGTTTTGCACCTAATGCACCGCCATCTTGAAGAATATCAAGACAATACTTTCTTTGAGAAATATATAACCCTTCCTGGATCGAGATACTTCAATTCCCAAAAAAAAACTTAAAGTCTCCAAGATCCTTAATTCTGAATTTAGAGTGAAGAAAATGTTTGATGGACTGAATTGCATTATCATTATTTCCCGTAATCAAGATATCATCCACATAAATTAGTAAGGCTGTAAAACATTTTCCCTTATTTATTTCGTTACTTCCGTACTGCAAGTCTGAAACAATTTTGAGCTGCAAAAATGTAGTCAAAACGGTGTCGTGGTGAGAGTATTTATCATCAATTATGAAACGTACCTTATTAATATATTAGGTTTGGGGGCAACAAAAATCTTTTTCCTTGGACAAAAAACCAATGTTTTGAAACCCGGACCGGACCGGCCGGTTCGACCGGTTCAACCGCGAACCGCTGCCTTGTCCGGTCCGGTTAACACTACAAAACCGAAAAATGCAAAAAACCGGGTTAAATGATAAAATCCGGTTTTTTGGCCGGTCGAACCGTTAACCCGGAAACCGGCTAGAAACCGGTTTTTGAGAAATCAATTACAGATCTGAGTAAGATGGTGGAGAAAGAAGAAAAAAAAACGAGAAAGAAAGAAAACTTGTCAAAAATAGCCGCTGGAAGAGGTAGAGGGCATGGGTGGCGTTAATCTTCAGGCTATGTTTTGAGATGTTGGGCTGGGATCTTCAATGATGTCTTGATGGGTGGTGCAGATTGGGGAAGAAAAGAAGCAGCAGCGCAGAGACGGAAGCAAAAAGAGCAATAAAAAGTGACTGATGTTTGGGGTAGGTGGGTGGGTGGGTGAATTATGTTTCAATTTGAAGTGATGTCTTTTTTTTCTCTTTTTTTTTTTTTTTTTTAATAAAGAGGGGGATTAGTGAAATACAGAAATAAAATAAGGAAAATCTAAAAGTAAGTATAAAGAAATATATATATATATATATATATATATATATATATATATATATATATATATATATAAATAAAATTATTTACTATGCTGTAAGGTTAATAAATTAATATATAACTCTTTGAATAGAAGTTAAATGATGCAAACAAATTATCAAATACATTTTTAAAAGATATAATATAGTATAATTATTCACAAATAATTAAATATAGAAAATATTAAAAAACCCGGTTGGACCTCGGTTGAACCGGTCCAACCGTGACCCAGTTGACTATCCGGTTCAATGTCCGGTCCGGTTTTCAAAACATTGCAAAAAACGCTTCAGTTGGAATTCTGAAGAATCTCCCGATCGACGCTGCTACTCTGTGATTTGTCTGGATTCATGCATTTTGGGTTGTACCGTACAACACCTTTAACAGCAGTAGCTAGGTTTTCTTCAGTATTGAAGCTTTCTCTTCCCGGAAAGATGACCACCAACAGAGGGATGAAATCGGTAAATTCAAATAACCACGTTGAATTATATGAATCGTTTTTTGTCTTTTTTATTGATGCGGCAATCCGTCGAACACGTAGTGTGCAAAACTTGATTGGTAAAGTGAAACTTAGATGAAGTGATTATGAGTTTAGCTAATTTAGTATTTCAGATGTGTTCAAAGTTCAATTTTGGGTTGTTGCGTTTATAGAGATACTGATCGTGTAAAACATTTGTGCTTGTGTGAAATACTGTTTGGGGTAACTTATATATAACTAATGTATGTTATGTTTATGATTCAAAATGTTGTCTTTCTTTTTGGTTTATTGCATTTGTATTGATAAATGATGTAATGTCTGGAGCAAATGTTGCAGTTGACTGACAATGAACGAGGACAACCGTCAATATTGAATATGGAAGAATTTCCTTCACTTTCTGCTACTAAATCCATTCCTTACAGTAAAATAGATTTAAGCACTACTTCGGAACGAACAACAGAGAACATTGGTCCATTGCAAGTTGAAGCATCAACTTCGATAAACGACTCGTACGACACATCCGGAAAGAATACTCCACCTTCTTTTTCTAGAAAACCCAAGGCTGGTCAAAATTACCAAGAACATGAAGCATCATCTTTGATAAAGGACTCGTACGACACATCTTTGCCCGCCAATTTTGGAAAGAAGGCTCCACCTTCTATTTCTAGAAAACCAAAGCCTCTTCAAAATTTTCACGAACATGAAGCGTCAAAGAGAAATTCAAACTTCTCACGTGGAACTAACGTAGATGAACCTTTTTATATATGCTTCACCGAGCTTAAAAATCCAGTCATCGTAGAAATTCATCACATGATAAATATAGTGGAAAGTGGGTCCAAAAGGTACAATCTTCTGAAGAGAATGTGCATTCGGAAGATAATACGGAGAAAATTGATGATGTGGAATACTCGGTTATAGAGTAGGGAAAAGTGTTGAGACATGGAATGGTATTATTCAAGAGTTATATACCCCTTTCTGAGCAGGTATTTATTTATCTTATGTTTTCCCACCAAAAAAGCGGATACTAGTAATACATGCTATTCTTACAGGTGGCAATTGTAAAGAGATGTCAAGAATTAGGTCGTTGTCCAGGTGGTTTTTACAGACCTGGTTATGAAGACGGTGCAAAAATCCGCCTTTACATGATGTGCCTTTGTCTCGATTGGAATGCTCAGACAAGAAAATACGGAGATATACGCCAACACGACAATATTGTACCACCTCTTATTCTCGATGAATTTACTTCATTAGTCACCAAAGCGCTCGACGACTCTCATTCTCTAATCAAAAGAAACTTTCGGACAGAAAAAGTCGAGGACATACTTCCTAAAATGTCACCAGATGTGTGTATAGTCAACTTCTATAAACACTAATGGCAGACTTGGTCTCCATCAGGTTCGTTGTGAATCATTAAATATTGTATTTCTTAACATGTTAATTAATTATATGGTATTCACGGAGAATTTAAAATGGATGTACTTATTGATGATATTAATTTGTTCGTGAAAGGATCGTGATGAAAGCAGAGGGAGTCTTCGGAAAGGGTTGCCTGTTGTTTTTGTTTCTGTTGGTGATTCAGCTGAGTTTTTATATGGTGGCGAGAGAGATGCTGACGTGGCGGAACGCATCCTACTCAAATCAGGTGATGTGGTTATATTTGGTGGTGAATCGAGGCATATTTTTCATGGGGTGCCCGAAACCCCGAAACCCGAAAACCCGAAAACCCGAACCATTCTTGGTGTGATTTAGGTTGTTATATAACATTTGAACAATATTTATTGAAATTCTCATTATCCACGGTTTTAATTAATTTGACAAAATTATTTCATATTATTATTTGCCGTTGGGGTGAACGCGAACGAACGCGAACGGGACTCGACCGTTACAAGTTCCAGCATATAAATTGTTTTCTCTCCCCTTCTCTACCGACTTCCAATCAAGACTCTCTTTCGCTTCGCTGCATTCCCAACTAAAAACCCCTTAATCTTTCTCTCTAACTCTAATTTCAATTATTCTCTCCATGGCTGATTTTCTCAACAGGCCTTTCAAGAAAGTTAAAGAAGATGAAGATAGACTGAGTAATCTACGACGGAAATTTTATACACGATTTTTTCGTACCTCGACCAAAAATCAGCCATGAAGATGTCTGCTGTATCCAAAGATTTTTACGACTTCTGGGCAAAATCAGAAGTCCTTACCATTAAAATTAAAGATATGGAGCCGAACAAATTGCGGGTTATGTTCGAGAAAAATATTCTTGAGATGCTTCATCGGCGAAAAATTTATGGAGTTCCGCTCACAAGATGTACTATCGCGTTACATTCACTTGTGAGCTCTACATTCGTAACCGAGGTTCTTCACTGCGTTGTCGATTCGAACGTTAAACATCTACACGTACAAGCTTTTACCGGGTTTTTCACACCGTGCGCAAGATTTCCAAGTTCGATCAATTGTTCTTCATTAACAACACTCTGCATTAAGGACGTTTACGGGGAAAGTTTCGAGCTTCCCAAGAGTGTTATCTTGCCAAACTTGAAAGTTTTGCGTCTCCACGACTTCGAATTTTCTAACGACAACTACAACGGGGCCATTTTTGAAGGATGCCCAAATCTTCAAAAATTAGTCATAGTTAAGTGTCGGATGAAATTCACGTTAAATCTTTGAAACTCAAGAAGTTGGTATTCAAATCCTGGAGAATACATTGGGATTGCTATAATCAGTGGATTCATGTCAATGCGCCCGAGTTGGTTTGTTTTAAGTTCAAAGGCAATCTTCCAATATTTAAATTTGGGGATGGTAATCTGTTGCATCTGGAGAGGGCTTGCTTTGATTTGAGCGATCTTAATAGCGACAGAAGTTGTTGACTTCTGAAAGCCTGTTAAATATCCTTTATGAGATGAGACATGTTAAGTTTGTATCTTCATCGACAAATACTAAGAAGGTAATACAAAAGCATATTTTTTATTTTTGGTTTTTTTTCCCCCCTCGATTTGATTGTTTATTCGTCATCATTGGAGTATTTCAGTTTCATGCATGCACATCTGGTATAGAGGGAATGTTCTGGGACAGATGAAGTAAAAGTATAACAAGAAGTTTGTAGAACATCCTAATTCTTACACACAATGTCATAACCTGATTTTTTGGCCAATATTGTTTATTTTTACGTTGCCTAGGTTATTGCCAACTTTCATGTTTTGGGAGATCCTGGAACACTTGCATCAAACAATCTCGAGGTCCTGAAATGGAAAGTTCAGGAATGCATAAAGAGTTTCCAAGATTTAGTGAAGGATGAGGTACTGTTTATTTATTTGCTTCTCAATTAAGTTCCAGTGCTGTTTTCGGATTTACGGTCTAAATGTTTTTTCTTCATGTTTACAGAGTGAAGCCAACTGAGGCAGACGCACCTGCGTTAATTCATTAAAGGAGTTATATGGAAATTTTCAGGTTTTGATGTAGTATGTTTTTTTTTTAGAAGAATGGTTGTGTAATGGCATTATTCTTGTTGCGTAAGATACTTAATTGTCCTGTACTGTTGTTCAATATTAATCAAGACGGAACAAAGTGTCTCTTCCTGGTTTCGTACAAGCACCGAGTGTGATCAACATTAGGTAGAATGTCTCATCATATTGCAGTAGCACGTCAGAAACATTAGTTATCGTGTTTATTAATTAGTAAGAAATGACACCGACACCATTGGTATCGGTCTCATCATATCATACGTTACAAGATACTGAAACACAATTGCAAATCTCATGAGACCCTAAACAAGCTTCGGAAGTTGCACTTATCCTCTATCTGAAATATGCCAGTTGATAAATTTCAACATTCTATAATCGATAATCTTGTATGTCCAGCTCCAGCCATGGAAAGCCAATTCACTACCCTTCCGTAGTTTCACTTCGCATCTATCAACTCTGTAGTTTCCAACACAACGACCTTTTTTATTTTTTTTAAATCGACAATGTTGTGAACCTTGAATTTGAGACGACGGCCTTGGATCACAGCCTGTTACTTTATCCAGAGTCGTTTGCTTGCTGAGGGACCAGGTTTTCGTTCAGCATTTCGTCTAATAAACCGCGAGCTCCGTTTACATCACCGTTAGCGATAAATCCATCAACCAGAATATCATACATTTTTGGATTTAGTTGCACGGACTTTTTGGCGCATTTCAGTCACCACCACTGTCACCGTATCAAACTCCCCAGCCTCAAAGAGTGCTCGTAAAATCGTACTATACGTACACTAGTCAGGTGAACATTCTAGCTCTTTCATAGTTTAATCTCATCATCCACCTTCTTTTGCACACACAACCCCTTAACGTAGGTGTAGATATCTAGAACAAGCAAATGATCAAACACCTTTCCAATCCTTTTATCCCGACAAAAAATCGAAAGCAAAGCGTTCCACAGACAGGTCGCATCTGTAAGTTAGTGTCCGAAAGAAGAGATACACAGCAATCATCAAACATGTTGTTATCACCGTAAAAGATGATCAAAAAAGTAAAAAGTGTTTGAAAGTTTTCGACTTGCCAGGATTTGTCGGATTTGTTGGTGGGGGCAATCCGAGGCTTTCTTTTGAAGAGAAAATGGTATGACTGGGAAGGAGACTGGTTTTGGATTTTCTGATTGATTGTTTGAATAGCAAAGTTTTATTGTCGCCATGGATGAAGTATGAATCCCCTCAACATTTTGATTTTGCCCCCAAATCTGATTTTTGGTTCAATTAAGCAAACTATTTAAATTGAACTTGTTTTGACTAGGAATATGGCCCATTAAGGCGTTCGGATTATGATATGTTTATGAATGTTGAGACGTAATTAATCAATCTTGTGTGCGATGATGTAATAACAGCTAATGTCTGCACATAGAAGATGCCAAGCTTTCAGATGAAAAATATATGCTTTTCAGTGTGAGGAAGTTAACATTCTTTCAAATGAAGAACCAAGTTGGTGTATTCATGCCTTCCAACGCAAACGAAGATGTTTCCGACTTCAGAATCGAAGGCAGCTGGTTCGAGAGATCGTGCCTCATGCTGGAAACTGGGAGTTAAATAATCACGAAGCTAAACCGGATATGGAAATCATACAAGTTTAATATCATTGCTCAAGTAAAATATATCCGTACAACTTCATATAAAATTTGATGACAACAATAAGCAATGCAGAAATCATACACATCCATTAAAAGAGGTCGAAAAAAAGAGGTCGAAAACCAAGTTCGATTCAATGTGAAGGTACTCATTAAATATTCGAAGAAAATAATTCAAGCACAAAACTTTGGTTCTAACAACTTAAATACTCCAAGAAAATAATAAGATATAAAGGTTTTACGAGAGATACGAGATTAAATTTGCACGAACTACTTAGTTCATCCTCCTAATTAGTTCGTTAATGAAGTCTTCGCGATTACCAGCATCACCGCCTTCAACATAGTGATTCCTCTTCTTCTTCAAACCACCCAACGGTGCCTTCAGTTGGAAGGGCCACAAGAAGTTGTTAGCCTCCTTGAAATGTGGGCCCACAGTCAAGATTTCGTGAATCAAATCTTCCATGCATATTATTCCAAACTTGCCCAATGCCTATTTCCAAAGATATAAATGATTAAAAAAAATTAATCACCAATAATCAAGAATTTAAATCCCAAAAAATTCTGAATATTTTGAACGAACCTGGTCAACTAGTGCATTGTCGGTCAAGGGAATTCTCTGCTTGTTCAGTTTTCCATACCCTCGTTTGTAAATCAACTCTCGGACACTCTTAAGGTTCGGGTATCTGAAAACATATAATGCAGTGAATACTTGTCGTATTTTATTTTATTAAATATAACAATGTAATGAATGTCGGTTGAAGCTTAAAGCTTACCCGTAAGTAACATAAGGCTCGACTCTGTGCAGCATGTTCATGGTGGCTTTGTTAACTTTCAAAAAGACACCGTTAAAGATCTACAAAAACATCAAACGTAAATCATGAAGTAGAATACAAGATTTAAATCACGAAGCTAAACCAGATATAGAAATCAAGATCGAATAATTTCAAAGTTTTCCTGAATATTTTACGCATAACTAAATTATTTTCATCAACCAAATCCGACATAGTATATATATACCTGACGCAATCTCAAAAGCTGCAAGATTTTCTTGGTAGTCGGGTGCATAGCATTGATACTGAAAAATTAATACATAGAATTGGTAAACCGACACGATAAACAGTAAAATCGAGAATACAATTATTAATCAATAAATTGCCTACCCACGAATTCGGACGATGAACAATAGCTTAGCTTCTGGGCTGACGTAAAACCCACCCTTCAATCTCGCTTCACGCTTCAACTGAATCAACTCCTTATCCTAAACACAACAAATCAATAAAATATTAAATAATGCTAATTCGATTTTGATTCTTAAAACAGAGGATAGATTAAAGTATTACCTGATTCTCATACTCCTGAGCATAATCCCTAGCTTTCTTGCAGATCAATTTCCTGGTCTCGACTTTCTTCTTCTTCGACTCTTCGACCTCTTTTGCCTTTGCAGGGCCCACTCTTCGGCCCTCTTCTGCTTCTTCAACACAGACTCGGGCACCGCCACACCACTCTTGGCAACCTCAGCCATTTCTATAAAAAAACAATCAAATCGAGAAAAAATCGAAAAAAATCAGACTTACAAAACCGGCTCGGATCAAAACTAAAATTATCGGAGATCACAATGCAATAAACAAACAATGCATCTCTATTCAATTATAGACAAATTCATCACATTACACAAGGTTTTGAGGAAATACAACTTCTGCATTATCTTAAACAATTCTAAAGAAACTAAAACCAGCTGAGAAAAGTAATCAACTTCAAAATAAATATACATTAAAATCGAAGTAAATATTTGCCAGTACTGAATAAATTTTTTTTTCCAATTAACATTTCACTACAGAGAAAAAAAAGGGGGGAAATAGCATCGATTGCACTTTCTACTTGTTAAATATGATTTTTGCTTCAGCCATTTGTTCAGAAATTAATCACAGAATCACGAGCTATTTCTCTACGTTCAAGCAAAATATAAATTATTTATGAAAAAAAATAATTAATACACAAAAATTCAGACTCTAAATAAACGTAAAAATGAATCGAAATAAAAACAAGAAGATCAAATCAAAATGTAGAACTAGCCTTTAGTTTCTGCTGCTGCGATGAGAGCTCCGTCGAGAAATGTGTATGCGAGAGAGGCTCCGGCCGAGAAATGCCATCGCTAAACCTAGTTTTGTTTATATACTGTAAGGGCTTATTCTTTGGGCCCGATTCAATTGGGCTTCTTTGTTTTTTTTTTTTTTTTTTTTTTTTGTAATTTATTTCCGCTCTGGACAAATAATGTAAGCCCAAATACTAAATAGCCTAACTCGTAATGCCCATATATGTTTATATGGTTTTGCATTTATTGATTTTTAGTTATTTTTTATTTTATTTTTTAATAGCGCATTTATTTATTTGCAACTTATTAATTCAGAAGCCCAAATAAGAGCCCGTTTGGCTAAGCTTATTTAAAACATCTTATAAGTTCCTACATCTGATAAGATATTTTAGGAGCTGATAAGCTGTTAGATCTTATTTTAAAAATTATTTTTTAAGGTGTTTGGATATGTAGCTTATAAGTTATTTTTTGTTTTTATAAGTTGTTCAGGTGTTTGGAAATAAAAGGTCTGTTTATTGCTATAATGACAAAAAAGTACATGACGTGAGTATAATTGTTAAACTTATTTGACTCAAATACTTTTGTTCCTAAAATATTATTATAATATTTACAAATTATTTTTTCAAATAATAATAATAATATAAAATTATATAATAATATAAAATAAAAGTTGTAAAAGAAATATAATTTTTTTTGTAAATGAAAGAAATATAATTTATTATGGAGATAATAAGAATATTCGTGTATTTTTATATACATATAAAATATAAATAGAGAATAATTTTTTTTACAATTATTATGATAGTTACGATAATTATATTTAACTAATTATTATCTTGATAACAAGAATACGTTGTTTTGATAAAATATAAATATTATTAGTATTCATGTAATATAATAAAGTATTCGAGGGTAATTTTGTATTTTAAGTGTTTTAGTAAATAAACAAATAAGATCTTAAAGAAAAAAGGTGGGGTAGAAGTACTTTTTTAAAAACATCTTATAAGCTTCCTAACAGCTTATTTTTGGTAAAAATAAGATCTTTTGCATTTTTTTTACTAAACACCTTTTAACAACTTATGAGCTCCTAAACATCTTATAAGATATTTTTAGGAGCTTATAAGCTTAGCCAAACAGGCTCTAAGATAAAGATGTGGATGCTGAAAAATTTAGTACGACCAGAAATTGGAACAAAATTCTGAATTCAACTAATTATCATCCGAAGTTTTTGAGCAATATTTTTTATTCAGAATCCACGAGTTCCAATTCCCTTTTTCTCAAAAAAAATAAATAAATAAATAATAGCGTAATTGGAATACATATTATATCCATATAATATCAATATCATTATGTATTTTGTAATATCATTATTATGTATTTTGTAATATCATTATTATGTATTTTGTAATATCATTATGTATTGTGTATTATCGGTGACTATAAATTTGGAATTTTCAAATTTTGTCGATTCCGCTTCGAAATTTTTCGATTTTAAACTAGTTTTTTCACTCCAGGTTCTGATTTTTTTTTCTTTTTTTTTACGAATTTGAAACTAGTTTTCCACCACAAAAAACAATTAAATTATTATTCGAAAGTGTCATAACTCATTGTTCTACTAGAAGTAACCAAAAGAAACATAAACATAACAATAAATTGAAAACTTGAGTGGTTTTTAACGGTTCGGAATAGTAATCATTATATCGTTTTTTTTTTTTTTTTTTAAATCGAATTTTTTGGTTCACGTATGGTGCAAAGGGTAAAAGACCGAACCAAAAATCTACTGTCGGAACGATTCAAAAATTATAAAATATTTACATTATGCATGTTGATTTTTACATTACATGTCACTCTATGGGTTGAAAACTGTAACGAACTTTTCGATTTGATTCAAAAAAGTTTAATGTTGGAACAAAATATTTCCATTTAGAATACCAAAAGTTTGAGTTTTTTTTAATTTGAATTGGAATTGGAATATATATATAAATATTCGATTTCTGATATGATTTTAGTTTCCTCGAGTTCGAATTGAAAATTTTCGATTTGGTACAAGTTTCTTCTTAATTTTTTTTTAATGAAAAGGGACATGTTTTTCAAATGCTATAGTTTAGTGGTGAAATATTGTCGTCCAATCCATGTTTTCTGCGAAGTTTGTAAACGTAAATTGTTGCGCAATTCTTGTATCAATTCATTAAGCGAACACACAAATTAACTTGTTCATTATGGATGAAACAAAATTTGACGTATATATGATGATTGATAAATGAAGATGACTTTAACAATATTTAATTTTATATTTTACTACAGAAGTCATTTTTTACTGTATCTAGTATTAATTAGCCACAAAGTTTTGTGATTTTTTAGATGCTACAATTGATTAATGTAGTGGGTGTAGTATGTATATATATATATATACATATATATATATATATATATATATATATATATATATATATGTGTGAATGTGGGCAAATTATATAGTTTTGTATACACGTGTATTGTGCGATTTTATTCGATGAATTTAACCAAGTATTAAATCTAAGAAATCAAGTTTTTTTTTTGAAAACTTTAACAAATAATATTCATTTTGGGGGAAAATTGGACAAAAAATGGAAATACAGTAGAACCTCGATAAATTAATACTCGATAAATTAATAACCTCGCTTAAATAATACTTTATTCCGGTCCCAGCTCAATAAAAACGTATTAAATTATTAGTTCGATAATTTAATATTTCGCTAAATTAATAGAATTTTGTTAGTCTCGGCTATATTAATTTAAAGAGGTCTGACTGTACACTAATAATGCTTGTTTGGCTTTTTTTTCTTTTTTTTACGTTTTTTTCCGAAAAAATACATTGGGAGAATAATTTAAGAATTAAAGTAATATTTATTAATATTTGAAAACACTTTTTTTTCTTTTTTGATAATTGTATTTGAAAACACTTAATTCACACACTAATAGTCGAATTATTTTTAGGGTAAATTACAACCCGGCCCCTGAGGTATGGTCAAATTACGAAAATTCCCCTATTGTTTGGGTAATTACAATCACTTCCTCAATCATAAATTTTCTTACACGTCCATACTAGCGGTTTCAAATTTAGAGAAATCTTCGAGATTATACAAAATATTATCGTTTTTGTACCCGTTTTATACCATTCGAACTCTACATTTTGAAGCAAGATGATCGTAATATGTGTTTTTTGACTTGTATATATCAGATTGTGGTGCATCACAAACTATATTTTTATACAAAACGAGTACAAACTAGAACACATTCCACAAAATCTAGATGATTATGTTAAATTTGACACCATAAAGGTGGAGGTGTAAGAAAGGTCATACTTGAGGGGTATATGTAATTATCCAAACAAGAGGGGTTTTTTCATAAATTGACCATACCTCAGAAGGTGGTTGTAATTTACCCTTAATTTTATTATGTAAGGAATAAATGTAATTTGAGAAAAAAAAAGTTGGTTTATATTTTAGTGAGTAATTTTTATTAATGTAGTGGTTGATTATATACGAACGAACAAGAGATAAAGTTATGTAAATTTCCAAAAGTTTTGAAATCAAATTTCCAAATGTTCTTGAAATTGTTGAATCAATTTCTTGTTATTGTGTCAATTAGCTTAAATTCGAATTTCGTCGTCAACGGTCGATAGGTCGAATTGTCACACATGATTAACCTAATGCAATTTACATCTCTCGTATATATGATTTTATAAGCGATTATACGAGAGTGTGAATCCTTCGTATGAAAGAAAATATTTCTTGTTATTGTCTTCGTTCCCGATCGAATACCTACCTGGCGTGTTAAATATTAATTCAAGCAACTCCACTTCTAATTTTCCATTTTGCAATAAATCCAATTAATTAATGATTATCCAAAATGGAAATTTCCAAGAAATTTCTACAGATACTGACTTGAGAGTTGAGACAATTACTTACTTATTTTATAAATAATATATCTTCAAAATATATTATTCTTTGCTTACATATTATTTTTTTGTTTCTATCTTTTTTGCTGTTTCAATCAAAAGGGCACTCATATTATTCCAAAAGGTACGCGCTCCTTTTTTAATCATATTTTTTCCTTATCTTTTTTTAGCTCTTCAGTTCTTTCCACAAACAGATTAAAAGTTCTGTCATATATCATATATTGGTAAAGCAAACGCGTAATTTGCTTTAAGAAAGCACGTTAATTGTAACTTAACCTTGCGCGAATATTTATCGAGCTTTCGAAACTGTGTTTGAGTTTCGTTTGATAAAAAAATGAGTCTAGGGTTTGAACGAGCTTTAATATGAGAATCGCGCGCTCGAATAACTTGCTTTTATTTACGTACTATATATTTATTTGTTTTTCATTTTTAGTAATCGTATCTCTTCAAGTTTGACGTTATGCTAATAAAAATTGAGTGCATGTGAGATTTTAACGAACAATCTCGAATTAGTCGTGTATCGAACTGGAAAAAATGTGTTAGAAATTATGCTAGGGAAAAAAAATTTAGATTATCTTGAATACCAGAAACAAACATATAGTGATGGGTATGCTATTTTTTTAATAAATAAAATAAATAATATCTAATCATAATTTTAATTTTGAACATTATAAAAAATGTGTATTATGGGTGTCTAGAAAAATAATAAATAATAAATAATAAATAAGAATAAATTTGTGAACTCCGTCATTTATTTTCCCGTGACTCACTGACAAACAGCTACTCTGGTTAATAATTACATCATATATAGATATATATATATATCGATTTGAATTGCCCGATTAATCTATGAAGTAAATAATTAATCAAACAATATAATTAACCACTTTAGGAAAAAGATATACAATTTTTTACTGAGCTTATTCCTTACTTGTAACCTAAATATCTTAAAAGAAAAAAAGGGCGGCGATATACTCAATACTAAATAAATGTTGCTTTAATTTCTGTTGAAGAAAGAATATTATATATACAATATACATATATATATATAACAGCAGGAGGACTTGAATTAAAACAGAAGTTTCTGATCTTCTTCTGGCGAATGAAAAAGTGTTAACCGTTTAAATCTGCATTGATTTTTCTGCATGTGATATTTGGTGCGCAAAATTAATTTCTTTAATAATTACTACTTGATTTATATGCTTTTAATTATCACTAATTATTATTACGTTAATTAATTGTGTTATTGGTTTTGATTTGATTTGCAGGCGTGTTTTATATTCCATATATATTGATTTGGTAGTTCCACCAGATAAAGTTTATTCAACAACTTCGCTAGCTGCAGTTATCCTTACTCGGTATGTCTTTATTATTATTATTTTTATTTTTATTTTCTCCCCTTCAATTATTTCATTTATTGTGTATTTGTCGGTAATATATATACGTAATTAAAAAAAATTGTAGGCCACATAAATAAATACTACTATAAAAAAGGTAATGAATATATTCATAACTTTAAAAATCAAATTAAATTTCAAGAATCATGTGCGTTGTTTATAAATTATAACCCCTACGCTCCATTGTTGTGACAAATAATAAATTCTCAATTTCTCATATTTTTCTATTGGTAAAAACATTATTTATTTTAAATAAATAAATAGATGTATGATTTACACAAACTTTTTTTTTTTTTAATTTTATTTATGTGAGTTGGGCACAAAGGAAATCTAACATAGATCTAATAAGTCAATTAAGTGTTACATAATTTTATTTAAATAAAATAAAATTTATGCCACGTGTCAGTTGTTACTATCAAACAGAGAAACACTTGTTCTCGGGGTCGTCGGTCGGTCTTTTACTAATTTCCTCTTATTTTATTTTATTTTATTTTATTTATTCTTTTTTTTTTTGATAAGATATTATTTATTTGTTTGATAATAGAAATATTAAGTGGCGTATTGCATGTGACCCATCTGTACAGAACTAGAAATAGGTGACGTGGCCACCCACTACGACGAAAGTGTGCGTCACACGTCTTCTTAAAGCGCGTGATTCTGCCGACCCGGTTTAAGTTTCAATCTAGGCATAATCCACAACTTAAGAGATTTTTATTTATTTGAATTTGAATTTTGAACTGGCCGACATATGTTTTATTCACCAAAATATCTACTAACTTTAATTCGGTATCACATTCCTTTTTATTTTTTAATTAATTTCAACAATATGCTAACTAAAAACCAATCTAACATGGTAACATTCCAACCGAAAAAGCAATTTCAAAAGTTTATTCCCAAAATCGACACCGATATTATATTCCTAGCCAGCATTAGGTAACGATTTATTGATGCTACACCCGATTGAAAAACATCTGTACCATAAATTCACTGTGCCTACATTTGGATGGTGAAAATTCAAATTTCAAATAATTTAATTCTAAAAAAATATTAGAATTGACAAACATAATAATTGACCGTAAAGACCAATAATGAATCATGTGTAGCAGATTCACAATATAAAAAAATAATATTTTTAATTTAGTAAATTACTTATAATTTATAAATTATATAATATATAATCAATATAAAACGAATCGTTATAATAATTACAAGAATTAAATGAAAAAAAGGAAACTTATAGTAGAAAACGAAAAGAAAATCAGTAGTAAAAATCGGGAAAATATCTGATAGTGGGAGATACGGTAAAAGCCGTAAATAAATAGATCTTTTGGGGGTTATTTGTAGAGAGAAGGTAAAATTCGGAAAAGCAGTTTTGTGGGAAATTTCCGAGAAACTTCGTTAAACGCTCTTTCTCTCCCGACTCTTCGCCTGCAACTGAACTGTAGTGCGGCCATAGCCGATTCTTCAGGTTTTTTGTTTGTATTGCCGTTATATTTACAGAAATACCGAGAATTTTTTTTTTCTTTTCGTTTTTTTTTTGATGTTTTAGAGTTTATTTGCTGAGTTGTTTCGATAAAGTGAAAACAAAGATAAAGTGTAAAGTGAAGTTCCGTAGTTTTGAAGTTTAATTTTTCTACTTTTTTTTTTTGGATGCCGGAATTCGTCTGAATCTCGAGATTTTTGGCAATGTCTGTACATTGCTGATTTGATTTTTTTGACAGAGATAAAACGGTGTCATCTCTCCTGCGGCGAACAGAAATCCAGAATGAGTGAGGAACACAGGACGTCGCCGTACAGGCGCAACCGGAACGATCCTGAAGCCGGTTACAGTAACCGGAACTATGACGAGGATGACGATTCCGGTTCGGGGCCGTTCAATATTGTGCGGACGAAAAGTGCTCCAATCGACCAGTTGCGTCGGTGGAGGGTGAGTTCAGTTTTAATCAAATTATTTTCCTGTTGGTCGGTGATTTTGTTGTGGTTTTTGTTGTAGTTCCATACTAGTTTCTAGCGAGAACCGCAGTTGCTCTGCCGTGTTCCTTATTTCCATTTGTAGTTCTTGTTTGGAACAGAATTGCTCTATTATGAATTACGTCGGGAACAAAATTGAGTTTGGTCCTGTTGCGTTAATGGAATTCACATAATGTTTCTTACATGATTCTTTATTCCAAATGCCCCACCCGCCTGCACTGTTAGGCTTGTGTATTGTGTTTTCTTGAATCTGTTGAGCAAGATTGGTTATCCAGGAATTTTGTTCTCGTATGATAAGCGTATCTTGGTACTGAAAGAAGTTGGCAATTGGCTAATTCTTACATGTTAATAGCATTTATAGATCTAAATAGAAATGTACTTGACATTTATTTTTAGCACTATATATACTTGTATTTTAAGACCAATAGGAATCTATGTTACGGGTGAATCGTGGTTTAGATTTTGCATGCTAGTTGTTGGTATGTTTGAGCCAGGCCTTAATCTTAGTTATAAAATTACTTGATTTCAGCAAGCTGCTCTTGTGTTGAATGCCTCTCGACGGTTTCGATATACATTGGACTTGAAGAAAGAAGAAGAGAAGAAGGAATTGATTGCTAAGATTAGAATGCATGCTCAAGTCATTCGGGTACCTATTTTTCTCATTCATAATTTTCTTGCCTTTCTATGCTCTCAACCAATTTGTTTGTAATCAATGGTTTCTTGAGCAGGCTGCTGTTCTTTTTCAAGCGGCTGGTAAAGGGGCTGGTAAAGGACTTAGTGGTAATTCTCTTTTATTCTGCTTCGGATAGTTAATTTTTGTTGATTGAGCTTCATTGAAAAAAAAGTGTAGTGAGAGTGACAGGTTATGTCATATTGAAGATGCCATTCTGCTAAGCTTGTTCCCACCAAATGAGTTCTGTTTCTCGTCTGCATGTATGTGTTTAGTGTTTTTCTTATTATTTCTGAGATGAAGCTTGTATTAGCTGGTTGTGCAATGGTAGGTCGGTAAGTATGATGAAACATAATGTTTCTTGTCATCATTCTTTTCAACCGCATTTGTGTAGGAATGTATACATTTTCAGTGTTTATAGTTGCATACCTGTTCATGTCATATTTCTTGATGATGTGATCTAGAATTTTGATGCCCACGTTAATTCCATCATTTTTGGGAGCATCAATTTAAACCATGGTTATCATAGTTATGTTTCTGTTTTTTAGGTCCAGGATCTGCAAAAGCACCTTCAACTGCATCTCCAACTGGTGATTTTGGTATCAGCACGGAGGAACTGGTTTCTATGTCCAGGGAGCACGATGTCACTTTTCTGCAGCAAAATGGAGGGGTAAGTTACCCACTGTGGTATCTGTAAACATCATTTTTTCTTGTTAGCTTGACTTTGGTATCGTGCTGTTCCGTACCTGTGTTTTCCTGATTCCTTTTCTTTTACTCTTTTCATCAGGTTAAAGGAGTGGCAGAGAAGTTGAAGTCTAATTTGGACTTAGGTGTTTCTGGAGAAGAGACTGACCTCATAAACCGAAAGAATGCTTTCGGATCGAATACATATCCTCGAAAGAAAGGGCGAAATTTCTGGGTGAGCATTGATATTTCCTGTTGTTAGTCCAGTCCTTTTGTGTTGTAAATGGAGTAAAAATTAGTCCATGGGTATAATTGGGAATATATCTTTTCTCTGATGTACAGAGTTTTGTCTGGGATGCTTGTCGAGATACCACACTGATCATCTTGATGGTCGCTGCAGCTGCTTCTTTAGCGCTGGGTATAAAGACTGAGGTGAGGTTAATAAGAGGATTTATTTCGTAAATTTAGACTATCAGGTTACAGAATATTATGACATTGATTTTCATTTTGAACCCCTGTCATAAGGACTATATTCTATAGTTGCTCTAGCGTCTTGTTTTCTGTACCTCTCTCCTCTATCTGAAATGCTTAATCTCATTGTTAGGGTATAAAAGAAGGTTGGTATGATGGAGGAAGCATTGCCATGGCAGTTCTTATTGTCATTATATTTACAGGTAAATCTCATTCCTGTGTGACTATATAATCTGATATTTCATTTTCTGCCATGTAAAGAAAAATATCTGTGTGCTATTGCTGCTGTGTTTGTATATGTGGCACTTCCACCCACTATATGTGCTTGATTTTATTTTGAGTGATCTGACGTCCGATATCTGTTTTATCAGTCTAATTTTATACGACAAAAATAATCTAGGACGGGGATAAGCGCCCCTACTATGTTACATATGTAGTTTTACTTATAAGTTAAGATCATCTAGAACAAACACGCCTTTCAATAAATAAAAAAGAGTCCTAATTACAAAATGACAATTGAATTAATTGGAACATAACTGTTCAAGATTCTATATCGTACGGATTCGTCAAATATGTACAGCGTTTCCTTTTATGATTAGCGCTGTCAACTTTAGCATGTTATGAGATGTGCATTAAACTTCTTGCAGCCGTAAGTGATTACAAACAATCCCTTCAATTCCAAAACTTGAATGAGGAGAAGCAAAACATACAAATGGAGGTATGTCTGATGCAGTGTAATAGTTCCTCTATTTTCCCCTTACTTTTTACTTACATTTCCTGGTGATTATTTTCAGGTTGTTAGAAGTGGGCGTAGAATTAAGGTTTCTATATTTGATTTAGTGGTTGGGGATGTTGTGCCTCTGAAAATTGGTGATCAGGTGAGGATTTTCTTCTCTCTTCTCTCTGCTTCACACACATATCTAATCTCCCCATCCCATTCCGAAAAAAATAAGAAGAAAAAAGAAAGAACTAATATATTTCCTTGATTTTGATTGACTTATTCATGCTTTCCTGTGTACAGGTACCCGCGGATGGACTTGTAGTCTCTGGGCACTCCTTGTCAATTGATGAATCAAGCATGACTGGGGAGAGTAAAATTGTGAGCTCAAGAGACTGTCTGCTGTATTTTTTTGGTTTTTATTGTGCGAGGATTCTTATGCAAATGAATTTTTGGTTTTAGGTTCACAAGGACTCGACTAGAGCACCTTTTCTTATGTCAGGATGCAAGGTTGCTGATGGGTATGGCAGCATGCTGGTAATATATGTAGAAGCACTTATATGCTTATATCCATTAGCAAATTCTCGCTGATGTTTAGATGGAAATACAGAAACTCTATGCTTGTGAAGTAGATAATCTTCTTAATACGATTATAAAACCATTCGCGCTCAGACAGTGTATTTCGTGGACAATGTCTATTTTTAGTATACATACTCAGTCACCATCTGTCTTATTTGCAGTTTTATGTGGTTGTTGATTGTTGATACTAACTTCATTGATTCTTATTTCCCAGGTAACAAGCGTCGGGATAAATACAGAATGGGGGTTACTTATGGCGAGCATATCAGAGGATAATGGTGAAGAGACACCATTGCAGGTTACTTTTATTGATATTTTGAACATCCATATTATGGATATTTTGTGCCTTGTATGATTAGTTGTTGGCTTCTGATTTTTTGGTTACGTTTTTCTGAGTTAGGTACGGTTGAATGGTGTTGCTACCTTTATTGGTATAGTTGGTCTTGCAGTAGCAGTAGCAGTGCTGATAATCCTTGTGATCAGGTAATTCTTGCATCTTTTGCTCTTATTTTCTGTTCAACAGATGGTATATGGTAAATTAACCTTTTTGATCTGCTAGGTTTTTTACCGGGCATACCACAGACCCCAATGGCAGAGTCCAATTCACAGCTGGGAAGACCAAATTTGGCGATGCAATAAATGGCTTCATAAAGATATTCACTGTTGCTGTATGTATACATTTAGATTATGATTTGGTATTAATCTTACCGTATGTTCATCTTAGAAATGTTTTGACTGGTCTGAACAAACTCCAGGTGACGATTGTAGTTGTTGCAGTACCAGAGGGTCTTCCATTGGCTGTTACTTTGACGTAAGTTTATATGTTATTATTAATTTTTCTGGTGGGTTTTATGCTCGCCTTTATATATACAAGTCTAGACAGCACCAAACTTTTTCTATTTCTTTCTTATCCATGAGGAGATGATTGAAATTGTACCTTTTACGTCATCATGCTTCCATGATATCATATTGTTCTAAAACATCGTTCTAATATCGTGATATAATCCTACATCACTACTTTAAGCCATCGTTCTAAACCATGGTTTGCTGATACTTCCTTTCATTCATTGCCACATTTCACCCTTGCAAATGTTGTACAAACACATGGTTCATTTTCTGTTTTGACTTTAATATATTTTTTTTGTAGGCTCGCATATTCTATGAGAAAAATGATGGCTGATAAGGCATTGGTATGCATACTTTCTCTGTACTTAAGGCATATACACCCTTATTTATTTTTCTTTATGTTCTATTATGGTTTCCCTGAGCCACATTACATGATTGGACTGCAGGTCAGGAGGCTGTCAGCCTGTGAAACTATGGGGTCTGCAACTACCATTTGCAGTGACAAAACTGGAACTCTAACTCTTAACCAGGTACTTTTCTGCTTTATCTCTTCACTTCCATCTTTTATTTTGAAGATGATATATGTATTTTTTTTGTGTGTGTACACTTTACAGATGACAGTAGTGGAGGTATATGCTTGTGGAAATAAAATGGATTCACCTGAAAACAAGTCTCTCGTTCCTCCAAGGGTCATCTCTTTGCTTATTGAAGGGATTGCTCAAAATTCAACTGGCAGCGTATTTGTGCCTGAGGTATTTTAGCAGAATTCTCTGATTAGTTTATGATTACTAGTGAATGTGCGTTCGAGTGTGTGCGTGTGTGTGTATAGTAGATTAGCTGAGGGCTCAGAGGGAGGTCATCTGGTAGATATTTCTTGCGCTGTGATGATTGTTTAAGTCCCTGGTAGACACCCATGTGATGCTTGGTACACACACACACACACACACACACACATATATATATATATATATATATATATATATATATATATATATATATATATATTTCTTATTTTGAGTATACTAATTTTTATTTCTGGCTGTAACTTCCCACTAATAAACTTGTGTGCGTTTATTTTTGAAATTTGTGTTTAAATTTAAATGATGTAATATCTGTCATTTCTGTAAAAAAATAATGATTCATATAGTTTGGTTTAGACAATTGAAAGTAGAGCTAGCCACAAGTCCTTGGTTGTATGTTTTTTTTGATGAAGAAATTATAGTCAGCTAGTGTTCCTCCAGACCGCATCTCTTATCCAACATAGGGATACTCCTCATTAGTTCATTGACTTCTGAAACTAGTATTGACATAGATATCATTTATATGTTTAAATAATTGTCTCAACGATGTGGATTCTCTTTATTGACGCGTACTGCCAAGGACTTGTGAATAAGAGATGCCGTCTCTCTGTGATGCTGTATGGTTGAGCTTTATGAACAAAACAATACATTATCCTTTTCTTGCTCATATATACTTATTAAGCATTGCACTTTCTGTGGCTATTCTCTCATAGGGTGGGGGAGCTCTTGAAATTTCTGGATCACCAACCGAAAAGGCGATTCTGCAATGGGCAATTAATGTAACACCTTTTTTTTTGTCATTTTACTGGTATATGGTCCTCTTGCCTGCTTCAAAAACTTGATTTTATATGTTGTTCTGTCTTGTAGCTTGGAATGGATTTTGGCTCTGCTCGTTCCGATTCGGTGATAATTCATGCTTTCCCCTTCAACTCAGAGAAAAAACGGGGCGGTGTTGCTGTAAAGCTGGTAAGTTATATATTTATATATATTCAGATGGTATTTCAGAATTGTTTTCTTTCTCCGCGTTATTTTGCACAATAAGAAAGCACTTTCTTAACCACATGCTGTTTGTTATATGCTCTCTCCTTAGATGCCAATTAAATGTTTTCTTCTTTTGTTCCTTCTGTCAACAGTCAAATTCTGAAGTTCATGTGCACTGGAAAGGTGCTGCAGAAATGGTGCTTGCTTCTTGTACAAGTTACATTGATGCAAACGACAATGTGGTCCAGATGGATGAAGATAAGGTTTGTTCAAATGATCGACTGTAGTTAATAACAATCATTTTCTTGGAGTGATCCCATTACTCAATCTCTATTAGCTATATTAATTATTTGCTTGAACTTGGCAAGAAAATGTGTTCTGCGTAGTGTAATTTTCCGTGGAAAACAAAAAATTACATGGTTATGATGCCTGATCTTGACCTTGTCTAATGACAAACACATCACTCTCTATCTTTAAAGTGTTAATATGTTTATTTTTCTTGATATTTCAGCTACTAAGTACGTTTATTGTTCTTTGCAGGTAGCTTATTTTAAGAAAGCAATTGAAGATATGGCTGTAGGTAGTTTGCGTTGTGTTGCTATTGCCTATAGGACGTGTGAAATGGAGAAGGTTCCAACTAATGACGAGGAACTGGAAAAATGGCAGCTCCCTGAGGATGACCTCATTTTGCTCGCGATTGTTGGTATCAAGGTGCTCATGACTTGTATATCTTTTCTATAGAGATGACAATAATTTGCAATTTGAAATTATTCTCAATTTTTCTTGAAATTGTTTTCATTAATAAGTGAAAAATTTCAAGTTCACTGGCTTCCCATCTAATGCATGTATTCATTTAATTTAGTTCTCGCCTTATGCAGATTAGTTATTTGCATTTTTATCCTTCTCTTAATCCGTGAACAATAGCTTAATTAAAATACTGGAGTAACACTCCAGTGATTATATATCAATTTAATTGAACAGAAACTGGAAGAATTGTATAAATATGCTGCTGCTTACCATTGTCTCTTTCATTGGTTGCCTCTCTTGGATTCATCCATGAAGTTCTGTCTTCATCTTCTTTATGTTTTAACCTCTCTTTCTGGGTGCTGTTGGGGCCTTGTGTTTTATGATGTAGTTTACACTCATAACATAATTTCTTCCCACACGTTGATGATTTCTGGCATCTATATTGCAACTGCATCCTGCTTTTATTTATTTATTTATTTATTTATTTATTATTTTTTTTTTTTTTAACTCATCCTTCCAGCGTAAGTATATACTTCTCTGCATCTGTTCTCACTTGAAAAAGCTTGTTCTTAATGACGTTATGTTCAATGCAGGATCCCTGTCGGCCAGGTGTGAGAGAAGCCGTTCAGTTATGCGTTAATGCTGGTGTTAAGGTATGCACACTCTTTCTGCGAAATATGCACACAAAATGATGTATAACATTTGCGTGTTTTTTTTTTTTTTGGGAGGTGTGCTTTATGTTCCTCAGGTTGGTATATTCCCTTACTGTTTTGATAAATGATTTGTGGGTATTTTTCTGTCTCTATCATTTCTTCCCCCTTTCATTCTGTTGGAAAAAGGCAGATATAAATACGTTAATGTTTTTGAATTTTGTGGAGACAAGTATTCAGAAACTGTGTAGCATGAGATAGTTTTTTTGTTGTTGAGAAATTGCTCTGTAGGTTGTGTACTCGAAACTGAACAATTAAATAAAGAAGAACTACATCTTTTCAGTAGGTTCCCTAACTTGTACTTTTTGTGGTCTGGTTTTCTTGTAAATATTCTTATCGATGCTATATATCGGCTAATGGTTTAGCCAGAAACCGATTACCAACTATCTACTCTATAGTTTCCTGCACCCCTAGGTTTTCTGCCTCGAAACATTTATTTATATATTATTTTTATATCTACTTGCTTCTTCTTGATTATAAACTATGCAGTCATCTTGATTATTGTTAATAAAATTATAGGTTCGTATGGTCACTGGAGACAATCTTCAAACTGCTAGGGCAATAGCCTTGGAGTGTGGGATATTAGGGTCAGATGCAGATGCTACGGAGCCTAATCTTATTGAAGGAAAGACATTCCGTAACTATACTGAAGCACAGAGATTAGAAATGGCTGATAAAATTTCGGTATGTGCTCAACATTATTGCTGCTTAACTGTATGTGCGTTTGTGCTGGACACTGAAGTTTGTAACTGACTTGTTATAACATTTTTGCTAACAGGTAATGGGAAGGTCATCACCAAATGACAAACTCTTGCTGGTGCAAGCATTGAGGAAGAGGGGACACGTTGTTGCTGTGACCGGAGATGGTACTAATGATGCTCCTGCACTGCATGAGGTTTGCCTTTTCATTTGCCAGATATATTTGGACTGTGTCCTATGAATTACATTAAGAGATTCTCTGGTACTTGGATTATGTGACGGATATTTTCTTATCTACTCTGAACTGTGTTTTCTTTAGTCACAGCACTACTTTATTTGGGATTCCAGTTGGTTGTATAATATTGGATTTTAGATTAACCCGTTTTATGATTCATGGCTTCCATTTAATACAATTATGCGGCCGGAGGAATTTCCTTAATGAACGGTATATGTTTATGTGACTTTAGAAGAAGTACAGTACAATTTTAATTTCTTCTGCAAAAGATATCGCTTTCATTCGTGTAATCTGAAGTGAATATGGATTGACGCCATATCTTTCATGAATATTTGTATTATTGGATGCCTTAGGATTTGGTTATGGCAGCCATTACTGGTATTTTCAGAAGTAGGGTAGTTATTAAAAGGAGTTTTACTTGTTGTTTTTGTGTAATCTTTGACCTTTTCTTTTGGCATCATATGACATGTTTTCCAATTCCATCTTGGTGCAGGCTGATATTGGTCTTGCAATGGGTATTCAAGGCACCGAAGTCGCCAAAGAGAGCTCAGATATCATAATATTGGATGATAATTTTTCTTCCGTTGTAAAGGTTAGTTTTTGTATCTTGATTAAAATGATTTGTCTTGATTAATAAGAAATATTTGTTAAAGAGAACTGCAATTAGCCTTAGTGAATTAGTTGCATATTTAACCTTTCTTTTTTGATTTGTATATTTTATATAAAAGTACATCGTAATATACATATTCGTGTATCATTTGTCACTTTCTTGTTAAGGATTTTCTATGGGGATTGCTATCTCACTCTCATTTTCATGGGATTTGGACTGTTCTTAAGATTTAGTATTTTCTGCTTGTTGGGTCACCATTGTCAGCTAGTGATTAGAAAGTAATCTCTTTTGGTATTTAAGTCAGATGTACTTCCATCTTCTTAGGCAATTTGGATAAGCACTGCAGTTCATATAGGAATTTCTCGGATAGAATGATTAGGTCTATTATATTGATACCATGGGCACACGAAACTGGAGAATAAGTTTCTCTGTTTGGGCCCATCATCTTTTCTTACGCGGTTAAAGATTGGTAGCCGACAGTTGTGCCATTGGTTCTGTTGGTAAAAAAATATTTCTGTCAATTGCAGGTTGTTCGCTGGGGTAGATCGGTATATGCAAACATCCAGAAATTTATTCAATTTCAACTTACAGTTAATGTTGCAGCGCTGGTTATTAATGTTGTGGCCGCAGTGTCTTCGGGTAATGTTCCACTAAATGCTGTACAGGTGTGTGATCTCTTTCCCTCTCATATTCTTGTTTGTATGCCTTTCCCTTTCTATTTCATTAATTTCACTTCTCTACTTTCTGTGCAGCTTCTTTGGGTGAATCTTATCATGGACACACTAGGAGCTCTTGCACTGGCCACAGAGGCCCCTACAGATCACCTCATGAAGAGAAAACCCGTTGGTAGAAGGTTAGAATTTTTGCATACGTCTGAAGCTGTCATTTCTGCATTTGAAACAGTTGTTTACTGGCTGGGCCTATAAATGTCCTACTATGAAATCAGAAATATCATTGTACATTCATTATATGGGATGTTCTACATTTGCATTATCTCAATATTAGTTAAGTAATATGTGGATTATTTGCTGATCAAGGCATTATTTGCTGTTTTAGGGAACCTCTGATAACAAATATCATGTGGAGGAACTTGTTAATACAGGTATCGGATATATTTTCTGAACCAATGAAACAACAGTCTTATGTTAGGAATTAATATGGGTGATTATAATTTTTGCTTGTTGAATATTTTAGGCTATGTATCAAGTAACTGTGCTCCTGATATTGAATTTTGGTGGAATAAGCATCCTAAATCTGAAGCATGATGAGAAGGCCCATGCTTTCAAAGTGAAGAATACATTGATATTCAACGCCTTTGTCTTTTGTCAGGTATTTTGCACAGACTAGTCAGATTTGGATTTAGTAGGGGGTTTTAGTAGTCCTGTTTTATTTACTGAAGAGAATGGCGATTCCCCCTCTTCTCTCTATTAACCGGTTTGTTCTGAATGTCATAGATCTTCAATGAATTCAATGCTCGACAACCAGAACAAATGAACGTGTGGAAGGGAGTTACTAAAAACCGACTCTTCATGGGAATAGTTGGCATTGAAGTCGTGCTTCAGGTACTTCATTTTACATCCTAATAGTAGTAACTTGGGTACTTCATTCAGCCTTTTAACGTATTTATCTTGTTATGCATCCTCTTCTAGTTCATGATCATCTTTTTCCTGGGGAAGTTTGCGTCAACTGTTCGTCTCAGTTGGCAATTATGGCTTGTTTCCATTGCCATCGGTATTATCAGGTGCGTGTACAATTTTCTCTTAGTATACTCGAGTCTTGTGTTAAGTCTATTATTTAGTACGAATATTTTGCTTCTCTGTTGCAATGGCTATGTTTGTTTTTAAATATGACTTGCATTATCGCAAATAATATTCTTGTGTCTGATAAAAAAAGTACGTTTTTCTGCCTTTTGGTTATCAGCTGGCCCCTTGCTATTGTTGGAAAACTAATCCCAGTTCCGGAGAGAAATTTCGGCGAATACTTCAGGATTCGTCGAAAGAAGAACCCGACTGGTAAATACAGATTATTTTCTATGATTTAATAACATTGAAACGAAAGTCATTTTAAGCTAAATCAATCATCATTATCCCTGTTTTCAGGTAAAGGGGACGCTGATCAAGAGGTTTCCACATAACTGGATGACATCTGTATAGAGGCACAGAACACTAAACTCTCGACTAACTTTTAGGCATGCATTTCTAAATTAAGTTTTAATTTGGGTGTGTTACTTTCGTCTTCCGAGGTTGAGACAATTTTTGTTGATTGGTTTTTTTTTTGTTGAGCCCGCGTGAATATAAATATGTTGATAAAACTATTTTGCCTTCATAGGCCTTTCTTGATGCCTACCTAGTATATAGCCCTTCATTAAACGTTGTAATGAAATCGAAAAACTACAGACAAGTGAACCTCTGGATTTGCTTTTGTGGATTTATTTAAGCGTGTTTTGAATTTCCATTCGTTTCTTTGAGCCACTGTACACAGATTGTATTTTCACTGTTGGAAATACATAAAGTAATTGAGATAGTTCTCTCATGGAAGATGCGAACGTAGATAGTTCGATGGAGCAGGCAAATAGAATGATTCTTAGTCATCTCGATATTCGGACAATACCGACCCACGTGATAGGCCGGCTTAGTATAACACTACTTTTTAGCTGCAAAGGATCAGTATGGAATTGCAATTAAGAACCTGGATGAATAATTATTACAATAAGCTCTCTCTCGACTTGTTTAGTCGAACACCAATGTTGATGCATATCGTAGCGATTTAGTGTTGTATCATCTGCTGAGGTTTCGATGAAGCTGGCAATGAAAATGATGAACAGCCATCTCAACATTCGGACAATACCGACCCACGTGATAGGCTGGGGACTCTAGTCCTTTTTGGACGGAGTTGCTTATAGACATGTCCTCTTCCTGCATACAAGATTTTCTTCGGTTTAACATCAAATCTTCGTCTATTCTTGATTTTGTTATTAAAGGCATTTGAGTGTAAAAGCTGCGACTGACCTGGACCCCATGACTGGTTTCTGAACTCTTTTCAATGAAATCGATGTTTACCTATAAAAAGTTTAGATGAATATTATGAATGATCAGTGTACCTGTTCAGGAGTGTCTGCAAAATTTAAATGAACTTACCGTAAGAGAAGTCTCTAGAAAATAATCGAAAACCACGTGGCATTTTTTTGGTCCCAGAGGCAGTACTAGGTTGGTTTCCATCCAAGGTCCGTATCTACATCCCCGAGAACATTCAGATTGAGCACACGAAATAAAGAAAAAGTGAAAAACAGTAGGAAAAAGAATATTTGAAATGAAACCAACCTACTAATCATAAAGTTTGGGTAGACAAATGCATAAAAGGCTTTAGAACCAAGTCTATCAAACTCTTCTTCTCTGCCATTGGTATTGTTCACCCTGCACCTTTGCACACTAACTTTTTCGTACACCTGATACATGAATTGTAGAAAGACGACAAAAATAAGGAAAAACGGAACATCAATATTCGATATCATAATAAGAGAACGAGTTTGCTTATTAGCATTACTTCAGTTGAATACGAGTCAAGCTTGAGACTGGATGCAAATCCTCTATGTACGTACGGAACATGATAACCCCCATCAAGAAAGTTGTCGCAGAAAACCTGCTCAATAAAAAAAAATACATTTTACAGTATATGTTGACAAAAATATATTGCAAAGATTCGATCTTTGTACGTATATGTAAAAACAAGAAAAAAGGTTTGTTACCTTCCAATTGCAGTCAAGGGTATATACGCGTCTGCGTACGTAATCCAACGACGTATCGATCCCATTTGCAGTCAGTAGTTCTGCTGCATTTCCTAGCCACTCACTGCTCACATCTTTGTTATCAAGAATTTCGTTTGGATTAGCTCCATCTTCAAAATTGACCAGCACAAACGGGCCCCACACGGCGACTCTGATTGAAACAAGTCCTGTTTCCTACTTTCCATAAATTAAATGTCACATTCAGGAACAAAAAAAAAAGTAAACCTTTCGATAAGCAGATGAAATTCGCGTACACTCGGTTCGAAGTTCTTGATTCCGGTAATGCTTGTTGCCTTGATAAGTTTTCCATCCAACCCATACGTCCAACCCTAGGAAATTAATAAACATACATTATTAATTAGTGAAATATATTAATAATAAAAAAACACTTAATTAATTTTTTTCTCAAGAACTCACATGATACGGACATACGAAACAAGAACTTTTCCCAGTCCCGGAGGCAACCGGAGAAGCACGATGTCGACACACGTTGTGAAAAGCGTATAACTCGCCTTCTTCGTCTCTACACACCACGTATTCTACACTTCCCAATCTGCTTCAATCAATATTTATTAGCTTAGCTACCTTAAATATATTGTATTAATCCTATTTAATCATGTCGAAAACATAGAATTATTACTTACCTTCCGGTAAAAAAGTCGCGTGGCTCTTTAACCTGATCCGTATATCCTAATAATTAAATTTACAGCCAAAAAACACAAATTACAATCAGAAACTCAAACCCTATTTAAAGCAATATATTACATGAAGCATAATGCAATATATTAATGGCATGAAAAATGTCATTTAGCATTTCGTTAATATATAGCATAAACCTTGAATTAGTATTTATGCCGAGGCGAGATTATTAAATTTAAAAAAAAAATAAAAAAAATTACCAACTGGCTGCCAGCCTCTGTAAAAGATTTGAGTGAGTTCATGAGAGTAAAACTCAGAGTCAGTGTACCATGAGCTTGGTGGCGTAAACGCTTCTTCTATCGGAATTTCTCGGTTAAATTCTCCGATCATCTTTTTTACTCTCCCATTTTTATATTCACTGCTGGTTGAAAAGTTACCATTTTTACTGCGGCAAAGGCTGTAGTTCTTGCTCGAATGAGCTCGATTTCCGGGTTTAGTGGGTTCTTTGGTAATTAATGGGAAGTGGTTGGGAAATGCGAGCTTCACCGTGGTTGCAGCCATGGCGATTACAGTTAATTTAGTTATGTTTTTGTACAGCAAACTCAGAGAAGATTGAAAGAAAGATGAAATATATAATAGCTCGGAAATATGTTGGGATTTATTATTTAATATATTATTTAATTATTAGTTAGTAGTATTTTATTATTAATTAATTAGAATAGTTTATTTATAATGAATATAGCCTACGTCTGTTTAGGGTTATCATATATATTAAGCATTTAATTAGTATAGGTAATTATCTTTCCTAGTTAGATTAGGATTCTAGGGTTTTATTCTCTTTAAATAGTCGTATTGTGCTAGGGTTTTACTATGAAGAGAAATAATAAACAAGAGTTTTCTTACGTTCAGTAAAGAAATCTTATGATACACAAGAGATCGCATCAAAATATGAAGAAGGAGAAGATCATGTGCTTCACATGTGACGATGTCTGACAAGCTGGAGAGATAATGTACTATACATACACTTGTATTATATGTATATACCCCATGCACGGTGTGGGATTCCAAATGTACGTTAGGAAATTATTATTAATAATAATAATAATAAAAAACCATTGCGAAAATGAAATAAAAATAAACATAAGTATCGTTTATTTAAATGAATTGTTTACACAGAACCAGAGATTATAATTATTTGATGGAATGATAAAATAAGAATAAAAAAATAAAAAAATAATTTTTTTGCCATGCAATAAATAGTAGTAACAATAACGGTGCAATGCTTGTCGAGCAATTTAATTTATGCTTGGTGTAAGTGATGGGTTTTTTAGTGGTAGGTACGAGTTGCGAGTGGGCATTGAAACTAAGTGAATAGACAATTTTGCCCCTGCCAAACTCGCATGTGCTAGTGTTCGTGTGGATTTCATCTAAAAATGGCAAGTCTTCGCCACCGTGCAACAAAATAACAAGTTCAGGTAAAAATGTGCAAAAAAGTTTTGTTTGGGAGCCAAAATGCAAATCGACCATTAATTTAGGAGAGTTGCATGTCATTTAAGTCAATGGTTTTTTTTTTTATTTTTGTATAAATTATGTAATATAATTGATATAATGTGGTTCTTTTATAGGTCTTTGTTGATACGGGTTTATTGCACTCGGTACCCAGTGTTATATTGAATTGCTAAAAAACTACATTATATTATATTATATTATTAGCAAAAACGCCCCTATGATTCAATTTGTTTTACCACATAACCCCTAAAATAGGAGTACTAATTGCTAAAAAAATAAATAAATTAAATCATAAGGATTAAGGAGAATTTTGCCAAAAAAATAATATAGGGTAACTTTTTAGCAATTCGATATAACATAGGGGTCCTAATTGCAATAAACTCTTGTTCATACCTAGTATAGCGCTTTATGCATTACATTCGTTCTGCGTGCATTTTCACTATTGAAATTACATTGTGTAATCGAGACAATTTTCGCTTACGGAAGATGCAAAAAGAAGTAGATATACGCGTAAAGGAGAATGAACACACGCGCGCACACACACACAAGATAAGTAGTGTATATTAGATAGTGAGATTCCGATGAAGTAGGCAATGAAAATGATGCATAGCCATCTCGACATTCGGAGAATACCGACCCATGTTATAAGCCGGAGATTCTAGTCCTTCCTGTACCGATTTGCATAAAAACGCGTCCTCTACCTGAATAAACACTTAAAATCTTCTTACATTTTTATGATAAGATTGTAGAGTTTGTGAAGCTGAGAATTAATTACCTGTACTCTTTCACTGTCTTCCAAACATTTTCCTATGAATGCAACGTTGTCCTAAAACAAACAAAATATAGACGAATACCATGTGAATTATAAGTCATCGTACTTGTTTAGGAATGTGCTTGATGTTAATTGTACGAACTTACCGTAAGAGAAGCATCTAGAAAATAGTCGAAAATCACTTGGCATTTTTTGGGTCCAAGAGGCAGTACTAGATTGGTGTCCATCCAAGGTCCGTATCTACATCTCGGAAAACAGTTTAGATAATTTGATTTGAGAAACAAACAAACAAACAAACAAACAGGTAAATTACGGCCACCCCTGAAGCAAGGTTAAATTACGAAAACGCCCCTCATGTTTCGGTAATTACAACCACCCATCAACTATAAATCTTCTTACACATCCACTCTCGCGGTGTCAAATTTAATTGAATCTTCTAGATTATGTTGAATATTTTCCAGTTTGTACCCGTTTTACTTCATTCGTACTCCACATTTGGAAACAAGATGATCATAAGATGTGCCTATTGGCTTGTAAATATCAGGCTGTGGTGCATCAGATGCTGATTTTTTTTTTTTTTTGCAAAAAACAAGTACAAACTGAAGAACCTTCCCCGTTGTAAAAGATTCTGTTGAATTTGACACCAAAATGGTAGACGCGTAAGAAGATTCATAGTTGATGGGTGGTTGTAATTACCCAAACATGATGGGTTTTTTTGTAATTTAACCTTACTAGAGGGTGGCTGTAATTTACCCAAAATAAAAGGAAGAAAAATCTTTGAAATGATCCAAACGAAACTAACCTATTGATCATAAAGTTTGGGTAAACAAATGCATAAAAGGCTTTCGACCCAAGTCTATCGAACTCTTCTTCCGAGTCACCGGTCTTATTGCCACCACAGCTTTGGATGCTAACTTTTTCGTACATCTGATATCCACATGAATTTATACAAGGGAGAATAAAAAAACGACAAAAAATAAGGAAAAAAGTAACATCAATATTTAAATATGATAAATACGATAACGAGTTTACTTAGTAGCTTTACTTCGGTCGAGTACGAGCCAAGCTTGAGACTAGACGCAAGACCTTTATGCGCGTACGGAACGTGGTAACCACCATCTAGATAGTTGTCGCAGAAAACCTGCACACGAAGAAAAAAAAATATATCGGACATACCATAATAATATAATATACTAATGACCGAAACAAACCCGACGGAGACACCTTCCAATTGCATTCAAGGGTATACACGCGTCTGCATACATAATCCAACGACGAATCGATCCCGTTTGCACTTAATATTTCCGCTGCACTTCCTAGCCACTCGTGGCTCACGGATTTGTTATCGAGAATTTCATTCGGAGTAGCTCCGTCTTCGAAGTTGACTAGCACAAACGGGCCCCACGTGGCGACTCTGATCGGAACAAGTCCCATTTCCTACCTTCCGTAATGCCCCAGATCAAAAATTAAAAAAACAATTTTAAAAATTAAAAAATCATCGTTCGGTAAATAAAAATATACAATTGCATACATTCGCTTTGAAGTTCTTGATTCCTGTTATTCTTGTTGCCTTGACGAGTTTTCCGTCCAATCCATACGTCCAACCCTGGGAAATTAAAAAAGATTTAAATATCAAGATTTAAAGCAGAGTCACTTTACGAATAATAAATACCTTAATTTTTTGTCGAGAACTCACATGATACGGACATACGAAACAAGAACTTTTCCCAGTCCCGGAGGCAACAAGAGAAGCATGGTGTCGACACACGTTGTGAAAAGCGTGTAACTCGCCTTCTTCGTCTCTACACACCACGTATTCAATACTTCCCAATCTGCTTTAATTAATCAAATATTACGTTGCTACCTTAAAAAAAAAAAACAATCTTATAGTTGCATTTCTATGAACACACATGAATTTGCTATGCAGCAACGGGCTCGATAATATCGTACTAGTCCTATTTAATCGTGTCGAAAGCATAGAACTACTTACCTGCCGGTAAAAAAGTCGCGTGGCTCTTTAATCTGATCCGTATATCCTAATAATTTGCAGCAAAAACACACAAATTAAAACAAGAAGTAGACACTTTTGGAATCAAGAAAACCCAACCGATTGACGCAAATGTGAAATCATAATCAACGGTCACAAAAACGTCGTCACTTGAATATAAGAAAAAAATGTGAAATCATAAGTAAAAATTATTGTCTAGTCTTTTCGTACATTCGAATTCCTTCCTATTTCATACGAGTAAAACTACCACAAAAAAATGACACAATTGGGAATACCATAAAAAAAACATCAACAAAATATAAACAGATAGAGTCAGTGGCTCCCATAGGACTAGGGGGGGTCATGGCCCCCCACAACATTTCTCAAATCTTTATTAATATAAATAGAAACACCCCGAACTTCAAATTTTGGCTCCGCTAATGCAGATAGTACATATTACAAATGCATGAACATACATATAGATACAATACATGTATGCATACCTGCGGATTACGATCTAAAAACACAAAAAAAAAAAAAAAAAAAGGTGTGTGCGCATAGTAATTACCAACAGGGTGCCATCCTGTGTAGAAGATATGATCGAGTTCATGAGAGTAGAAATCAGGATCAGTGTACCATGAGCTTGGTGGGGTAAATGCTTCTTCGATCGGAATCTCTGGGTTAAATTCTTCGATCAAGCTTCTGATTTTCCCATTGTTATTTTCACTTATGGTTGAAAAGTTACCATTTTTACTGCGGCAATGGCTGTAGTGCTTCCCCAAATGAGCTCGATTTGTGGGTTTAATGGGTTCTTTCGTAATTAATCGGAAATTGGGTTCTTGAATTTGCGGGAAGAAGTGGTGGGGAAATGCGAGCTTCACCATTGTTGCAGCCATGGCGATTAAAGCGAAGTTCTCTCTCTCTTTTTATTTTTATTTTTATTTTTATTTTTTTAAATGGAAAATTGTCACGTCAATCTTTAAGGTATTTGGAATTCACCACCACACAAACGTCCCTCAACTTCAATTTAATTACATATAAACCCTCATGAATAATTGGACAAAATGCACTTCACCCCTCTATAAATTTCTCACTTTCAAACTTTCACCGCCTAAAATATAAAAAAGGGGATAATCGAGCTTCGAAATATTATTTTGGTTGCACTTTGCCCCAAGAGTTAATTTTTTCTGTGGGCATCGTGTGACAAAAATAATATTTTAGAGGGGCAACATGCAGAAAATAATATTTTTAAGGGGCAACGTGCAATAAAAATAACATTTAAAGGGACAATGTGCAACAAATATTTTTAATTCCGGGAATAATCCATCGGAATTTTGCTATCGGGGCAATGTACAACAAAAATAACATCCTGAAGAAGGGGAATTCACCTTTTCAAATTTTGAGAGGGTAAAGTGTGAAAATATAAATTCATAGGGGGTGATGTGCAATTTACCCTAAAATATGGACAAAATGCACTTCACCCCTATAAATTTCTCATTCGCACTTTTCTCCCTAAATCTAAATATATATAAAAAGACAATCCATGGCATAATATGTTGACACGTGGCGCTTTAGGGTTTCAAAACCCTAGGGCAGTTTTTATAATTGTTTTATAATCCTAGGACTATTTTGCAAAAGATAAAACACGTTTGTACCCCACCTCCTCCCCAACTGCATCCGTAACTTCTCACAATTTTTTCTTTCCCGTAACTTCTCTTCATCAGTTTCTCTAAACTTCTTCTTATAACTTCTCAATTCAAATTGCATATCAACTATGTATACAAACCCCATTTATAATTCAGTATTTTGTTCGCTTGAAAGAATTGCAAACAGTAATCTTTCAAATCCATCATATTTTGTTTTTTTTTTCAATGCGATAGTAGATTACATAGGTTTTTCTTTTTGTTTTTTTAATAAAAAAGTTTTTTTTTTAATAAAAAACTTTCGCTTTGAATCCGACCCCGTGCATCGCACGGGTGAAGGACTAGTATTTATAAAAGGGATACCCCTCCTTTGAAATACTATGTTGGTTGCGGTTTATCTCAGAAACCAATTTTTGAAGGACATTGTGCAACAAAAATAACAATTTAAAGGGGCAACGTGCATTAAAAATAACATTTAAAAGGACAATGTGCAACAAAAATACCCAATTCCGATGATCCATTGGAGTTTTGCTATCGGACCAATGTGCAACAAAAATAACATTTTGAAGGGGCATTCACTTTTTCAAATTTTGAGGGGGTGGTAAAGTGCGAAAATTAGAAATTTATAAGGGGTGATGTGCAATTTGCCGAATTTTTTTTCCCAAACAGTAATTATTTGATGGAAAGATATATAAACAAACATTTGACACGTGAGCAACAAAGCTGCATGCTTGTCGAGCATTTTATTTACTATATACCACATATTTATACTTTCAAGAGCAACTACAGAACAACAAGCAAACATTTTTTACAGTTGATATATATAATTTCCATTATTTACTTTTCCTTTTAACAGAAGCAAGAATGTGCAAAGTGGCTTCTGTTGGCTACGTACGGAGAAACGTAATCGGTTGCGGAATCGGAATTGGAATCTTTCTCGGCAGGAATGAATATCTGCGTTTTCCCGAGCCCGATTCTTTCTCCCACAACCGCTTCGTAGAATCTGCTCGGATAAGCCGGAACAAACACATCTCCTTGTGCACACACGTAGAAATCGATCGTTTTTCTACTTTCCGCGTCCGTAAACTTCGCCTTTTCGTCTGCCGGCATTATTGCATCCTAGTATATATATATATATATACCACCACAAATTTCAAACTTATATTTATCGTAAAAAAAAACGAAAAAGCGAACTCGATCGAGCTCAACTTGTATTCTATTGATTGGATCAAGAATAATTTTTGAAATGTGGGAAAATAATTATTCTTTTCTTGATCCAATAATCATACAAACTATTAGGAACCAAACATATTACAAAATTTCAAATTATTTGTTTTAATTTGCATTTGTATTTAAAACCAAACAAAGCCTTAATGAACGAACTCAAGAAAAAGTGTTACCTTGGTAAAAGTGTTGGGAAAAACATCCCTCAATGCATTGAGACTCGTATCCCATCCCGTCTGAGTCAAATATACGGTCGTGTCCTCATGAAAACCGATCTTCTTCAAAAACTCCCCGATTCTTTCACCGTTGTAGCACCACCTTTTATTATGACCACCACTACTCCCTAATAATTTACAGCTCGTTTCGGTAAACATTTCGGCACGTAAGTCAACAGAAACAAACCGCCCGTTCGTTTTCTTGCTCATGCTCCGCAATGTCCCGACCATAGAATCGATTAATTCTTGCAACTCCTTTTGCGGTTTGAGGCTTTCGTACATTGCAAGGCACTGATAATCGGATTCACGGTTGATTATTTTATCGTAAGGGGAGGAGTTGTTATTGAAGTAAGTGACGATTTTCAAGTTTCGTGTTTCGTTCTTGAAAATTGGCTTTATATTTGAAGCCACGTATTCCTCAGAAACCATGTAGGGGACTTTGATAATCGGGAGCCTCTCTTTCGATATTTCTTTAGGTGGGGTTTTCTCGACGCGGACAACTCCGGTTAGGGTTTTCGTGAACTTTTCGACGTCGTAAAGTTCTTTGAAATTCCTGAAAAAATATATTCAAAATAAATGAAAAAAATAATAAAAAAAAATTACTACGATTATATTATTGATCAATTTCTACCTTTTATCTCCTAATTTTGCTCCTCTAACATCAGGTAGTACAAGAGTGGCACCAAGATACCTAGCTACTGCAACAGCATTTGCTACCTGAAATGTATTATAAAACATGCATGTAAATATTATTTCACTTTAGTAATATATTTTAATTAATATATTGTTAAATAATTATTAAATATAATTTGAGGAAATTAAACCTGTGAAGCATGATATTCAGGGCCATGAGTCAATGAGAAAAATATGTAACCATTGGACTGCTCTTTCCCTTCTGCAAGATAATAAATATTTTTTTTTCAAAAAGGAAAAAATATGAATTAATTATATACTTATTTATTTTAAATAAAATAAAATTGGCCTTACTGAATAGAGGCTTTTTCGAGCAAGGCTTAACGATTTCGTCGTGTTCTTTCCAAGGACCGTAATTCGCTTCGGATAGTTTATGCATGCCTGGTTTTGAATTCTTTAGCATACCGTATTGGACCATGGTTGTTTCGGGTTCAGGTTCCTAATTAAAAAAAAATAAAAAATCTAAAAATAATAATAATAAATAATTAAAAGAAAAATCAAACTTATTATGAAGAATATATATGGTTTTATGTTGGCTAGGACCACCAAATTCATTCAAGAATTTCATGAATTTTTGTACTCTTTAATTATCATTTAGTAATTAAGTATCGGCGTTTTTATCGTCTTTCTGATTTCACTCCAACGACATTATTACCATTTCGATACAATCGATATGTTTTTGTAACACTTGCAAATGTAATCGGAATCTACGTATGACACGAGTACTCACATAAAATCGTGATAATTAAAATCATACCCTTTATAGCGGCCGGCATACTTAGCTAAAATTTTGAAAAATCTTGATAAAAACGACATAAATTTATTAATCGGTTAAAGAAAAATCTTATCATATGCGGATTTTTAATTTCTACTTTACTCTTTCGATACCGTCGAAACAAATCGCTTGAAACACAAACTAATATTAAGATGAAAAATAAACGGAGATCAAAACAAGGAAGTCGGTTAATTAAGTAGAGTGAAAATTAAAATCAAAATCAAAATTAAAATCAAAATCAGAATCAAGTGAATGCGCTGTTATTGTAAGCAATCAAACACAATTACAACGAATCACGAAAATTTACCAGAAAGCGAAAAATCGAGAAATTTCCACAAAAAGTAATGAAAATTTACCCAAAGCGGATCGATGTGGTCTCTTTTGATCATGTTTCCGAGCATTGCAAACATGGAAAATGTAAGAAATGCAGCCATTACTTGTCTCAAATCTACAGCCATTTTTTCTCTCTCAAGTTTTTTTTATTTGTTTCTATATTTCTCTTTACTTTCTTGATTGTAAATATATAATAAATTCTTTTTCTATCCTCACTTAATATACATATATACACAAAAAGAAAAGAAAATAAAAAAAGTATGACTCACTTTACCGACTGAAAGTTCAGAAAACAACAGAAAAAGGGATTCAATTAGAGTAAAAACACAGCCAGAAGACAGCTCGCACGATGTATGCCTGTGATGCATGAAATTCCAAATCACACCTATAAATCTTTTTTTTTTTTTTTTTTTTTTGTTCAGCCATAAATACCTAATTAATGAGTTGCTTCAATATTTCTTTACAAAACGGTGAGCATGGTTTTGGTTTCGGATTTTTTTTTTTCTTTTTCGTTTAAATTTGACACATAGACACGGTCGGGGGCCGAGTTTGCCTCAGACCCGGACCCGGACCCGTTCCTTTGACTGCATATTGGAAAATATAAAGAATTGACTCGATTAAATATAAACAAAATGCATGACTGAATACTAGCTCACTTATGTTGTCAAAACGGATACTGTGGCAAATTCAAATAAAAATAAAATAAGATGTTTATTTAGTGAAATTAGCCTATCCCATTCCAATTAATTTGTCTACTTTTAAAATAAAAATATATGTGATGTAGGGGTGGAAATTGGAATGGAATTTTCGAATTTCGCCAATTCCGATCCGAAAATATCCGAATTTGGAACCCATTTTTCATTCCAATTTTCGATATTCCGATTTCCGATTTTTCCGATTATTTTTAGAACGGAATTGGAATTATATATAAAATTATTGGAAATTCCGATTTCCGATCCGATTTTATTTCCGAAATATATAATGTATGATATATATTATATAAAAAAATATATATGTTATGATATATGCTTATATGGTTTAGATTTCTGGTCTCTCTATATATATATATATATTGTATTTCTGAATTATTTTTCTATTCATGTTTTGCAAGAACTATGTTTGTCTTGATAAACTTTGCCTTGATAAACTGATTATGTTGTTTTTACAAGTGTTTACATTTCATCTTATTGACCTTTGTTTTGGATTCTTGCATTTTGCGGGAAAAATACGAAAATATTAGGAAAAAAAAATCTTAAAATCACCATTATTTCCAATTTTGGAGCAAAAAATCAAGAATTAATGCAATTTCTGAAAATTTCGAAATTCCGCCGATTCCGAGGTATTCCGAAATTGGAATGGATTTTGAAATTCCGAACGGAAATTGGAACCTATTTTTAACTTCCGAAAAAAATTGGAAAATTTCCGAATAAGATATTTTTGATCCATTCCGTCAGATTTCCACCCCTAATGTGATGAGTAGAATCAAAATACTATACTGTGATTTTTTTTAATACATAGTTTAGTTAGATAGTAAAGATTTTAATTGATTAATCTCTAACAATTGACAAGAATCGTATTAATTGAATTGTTAACGGCAAGATCTAATCGAATTTTAACATTTTAAATTTATTCAAAGATTTGAATCAGATTCTCCTATTTTTCTTTGTTTTTCCAAATACAAAAATGGCTTCGAACCCGGACCCGGCCCCGCCACCAACCGGGTCGGTTTCGTATCCCCTCTTCCACATTCTGGACCCGGCTCGCCTCGACCCGCAGCCATGTGTAGTGAGTAGTGACACGTTTATGTGGAAAACAAAACGTATGCGTTACAAACCATTTTTCTTCCCCCCAAAAAAAAAAATATATATTATCATTATTACTTTTTATTTCTTAGTTTATCTATCAATCAAATTAGGAAATTGAAGTTCTCCAATATGTTATATCGACAATATAATATTTCCGCATTTGATATCAAATGATTAATCCCTTTATTTATTTATTTTTATTTCCCAAGTTCTTGTTGGGAAAATTGGTTAAAAATTGAGTCATGAACAATTTTTATCAATGTTATTGTACGGTCTAATTGAGTATATAAATCAATTTTGGATTAGAACCAATTTTGTGGTGAATGAAAAAATTACTAGTCCAAATATAAGGAAGTGGGATTTGAGTTATCCCACATTGGAAAAGTAGAGAAGTACTGAGCTGTATATATATCAAAATATTGGGACGGGCCAAAAACATTAGGTCATGGGCTTTTAACCCGTTAGGCTCTTATTACTCGAAGCCCATCTCGATTGGTCTGACTGGTCTGAATTGGTGCGGCCGAACCAATGCAAACCATTCGGCTCAACTCGAAATGGTGCAACCACTCCCAATTGGCTCAACTCGAAATGGTGCAACCATTCAAACAAAAGGTACCTTTGAAATGGTGCAACCATTCAAACAAAGGTACCTTTTTGCTCCAAAGGACACTACTTTTCGAACCTTATAAATAGACCCTAACTTTCCCACAATTCCTCACTTCAATCCAAAACAAGCCTACTACATATTAAGCCTACCCTTCACAGATTCTCTCGAAAAGTTCTACACAAAGTACAGTTCGTCGTACTTGGGATTTGGAGTGCTCCTATTCCAAGTTTTGCCGTTGTATCTTGGGAGACGATTTCCATTTAATCCGTTAGCACCGTTGCGGGGAAATTTCGTCTTAAGGACAGAGTCAACTCGCCTCGGCAAATTTACGTTCATTGCAGATAATCTTTTCGTATTTTCACTAATTAATTTGTTCAACCAATTTACTAAATTCACTACCCGTTTTATGTATCGGGAACAACAATCTTAAGACGAAATTTTTGTGATTTTGTAAATTGTGTTTTCTGCACACGTGGGTAAACGAGATGGAGAAGAAGATAGTCTGCAAAAAATCAAGAAGTTACAAAATACAATTGGAAGAAAGTTCATTTTGCGGACAGAACATGAAGTCCACATTCTTTCCCATTTTCGAAGGTGTTAAAGTCCGAATATGGCAAATTAACATTTCACCAAAGTTGTAGATAATCAAATTAGCTTTCCAGAACGTGTTAAATCGTCAAAATCGGAGATCGTACGAAGAAGTTATGATGAAAACACGAAAGGGTGGCAGAACTGACGATGCACCTTTTCATGAAAAAATACAACCGTTCGTGACCAATGCAACTTGTCGCATATTAACGCCTCACCAATGTCCAATGCACGAAATTTTGGTGAAAGAAGACTGAATCGAAGATCAATAATGAGGTTTTATAATATTTTCGATTCATGAATATTATTTAATATTTTTTTGGTTCCATTGTAGGTGCAAATTTACAGCACACCTATTCCGACTTCGAGGCTTATTTTGATCATGACCCAGTCCGAATCTCAGAAAACGTAAAAGATAAAAGTTGTAGAAAATTTTGTTGGCTATTCGGATCATATTGAATCAACAAAATCGGACTTCAGACGGAAGAGATATGATTAAATTATTCAGCACTGCCATAATATTGACACGATTTGGTGCTACCCACAAAGTTTGAATTGACGAACATATAATTTATCGGGTACGTTTTTTTTTTATAAGATATCTATTTGTGCAATAAATTGATAATGATATATGATATAATGGTGGATTATTGCATGATAGTTTAATTTCAATATGTGGAAGAATGGTAAACTATATACAATAAACTATATACAATATATTTGCTTAATGAATATTCATTATGTTTGTGTATCTACATTAATATTTTTATCCTAAATGCAATAAAGTGATATGGTATGTGTTAATAGGTTTATCATAAACCGCATAACGTTTCTCATGAAAATGCAATATTTATTTTCATAAATTGCATATAGTTTTGATACGGGATTAACTTTCTCCCAATTTTCATTTGATGTGGAACCGTCCAATTGATTAAT